AACGGCCGACACAACTCAGGGAACTTGCGTTTCAAGAAACGTGCGGTTTTATGTCCTATCCCTCTTCGTGTAAAAATGTAATGGCGCTGTTTTAACTTCCGGGCCCTGATATTTATGACTCCTTGTGGTATAACAAACGTTGAAATTTAATTCTATATATACAGGGTGTTTCAAGAAATGTGTCCAATACTCTTTAAAAAATCACAAAAGGGCGTGTTATATATATATATATATATATATATATATATATATATATATATATATATATATATATATATATATATATATATATATATATATATTCCCTCTAGCTGCGCGGGAACTTCCCTCTAGCTGCGCGGGAGCACATAGCGTATAGGCAAAACCCGGTATACGCAAAAACGTACCGGAGTGCCGGACAGACTAAAATCCTCTAATGTTTCTGGCGGGCGGTGCTGGCTGCATTGTCGTGGTCGGTCCAGACGACGCTTTAACACGATTCGGTGGTCTGCCCAAAGTGTATCTGGTGGGCGACACGTACTCCATGGCTCCATCGCGGCAGGTGGTTTTGGAAACGTTGCGGCATGGCTTGAAAAGCCGTGGCGGGCGACGGGGTTTGGCGTCGAATTTCCTTGGCGATGGCTCTGGCGGGCGGCCCCGACTATATGATGCAGTGGTCGCACGCCCATGGTAGACCCTTCGGCCTGGCCGTCTGGTGTTGATTTGCGCTCGTGTGCCATTTCAACATACACTTTCGCAACGCTAAATCATGTGTGGGAACTCGGACAAGCAGTGGGACGTGATCATCGAGATTTGACATAGCAGTCTTGCCCTATACTGCTGTAAACTTTATGATATAGTTGACAGCTGTCAGCATATATGATAGTTTAGTTTACTAAAATAACTGTTACAATCATTGACGTACTCACGAACTAATCACGAACCCCGGACGAGGACGAATTTTTCGGCAACTGAGAAGCTTTCTTTCTGAGAAATCCGTACAGATTTTCTTGTGGCTTCGTGCTACATTAGGGTGATTGTCTTCTTTCTATTTCTTATTCGTATACCCTCCTGCCACCTTGCGGTTCCAGTGTTCTAGAACACTGCATTTCGCGTTTCTGCAGAACTAATTTGCAAACTTCTATCATATGTGAATGTAGTTCCCCTCAACCTTGAATCGGCCCTTGGCGCATTGCAAGAACCTCACGCTTGATCCGCTAATAGTCGCCACGAGCACGGCTTAAACAGACGCTATCTTGTAAATAAATGAACTGGCATGCTTTGTGATCGACTTGGCGCGCACTTGGCTGGCAATGTTCGATGTCGTGATGAAGTTTTGCGCGATACATGTCTCACATTCATTGCACCGCCTCGCTTTTTTTATATCTTTTTATATGACCGCGCTAAGTTTCCGTACCACACATTACATATGAATGGGGGGTGTAGAACGTAGGGCAATTATTGCTTTCGACATGTGTGATTCTTAGGATTTAAGTTCGGCCGTGTGTGCTGAAAGCATCCTGCTGTAGCCATGCGCAATCACACTTTGGAAGTGTTTCAATGTTTCCAAATTTGAGTGCGTTTGGTGGGTCGGTTCGTGAACAGTTTACCGCTGCCAGACGGCAGCGCGAACTTGTTTTTTCTTTTTTTTTTTGCGATGGCTAGAAACGGCCACAGTGGTATAGCGTTTGCATACGCGGTAATGATCTTTTTTTTTACATTATTTGCAATGTACGTGTGCGTATTTTTGTTTACCAATACATTTGGCAAGAAGCGACCGGGTATTGTTTGGTAGCCAAAAGCACGCTGCTCAGAGGCGCGCAGAACCAACGTTACTAGAACAGAACGGGCGCAATCACTTGCGAAACACCTGAATATACTTAAATGGGCAAGAAAGGGAAAACGTTTTTTTTTAATTTTTAGTAAATTAGTTAATCAGGATTCCAAAGTCGCCACTGTTGCAATGAGAGGACGCTTGGTAAGCGAAAAATTTCACACACACAAAAAAACAAATGACGATGCATGCTTCTTGAAATTTTCGCACCAAAAGCCATGATGTCATGAATTTTAACGACCTTTACATGACCCTACGTAGCTACGTAGCTCCTATAGATAATTGGTAGAAATGAAGTACGTTGGCCAGTGAAATGGCCATAGACTTGACATGCCAATCAAGTTTCAGGAAGTTTTGTTGAGCCACTATGTCACCAAAATACGAAAAAATGCACTTCGAAATCGGTCACGTTACGCGAACAGATTTCAGCGCAAAATTAAAAAATGAAACTATGACCTTAGTATTAATAATAAACTTGTGTTGATGAAGTTAACGACGTTTTAAAGTTCTCAGAGAACAGTTTACCAATTTAGTCGGATTCACTGTTTAAATTTAGTGTCCCTTTAAAATAACCGATTGCACACCATCCCGTTATTGCACGCGCTTTATAGATAATTATAAAAGAAGTGTAAGGTTTCTGGAATGACGCAGCATGTTGGCGTGAGGGCTAATCAGTGCGTCGGAAGTTGTGTCGCCAACACTGGCGAGGCCGGGATGTATGGGGGTTAACATTTTAACCCCCAAACCAAATTTTTTCCGTTCTGCATGCAGCTCTGCATCAACAGACATAAACGGTGGGTGAATCCCCTCCCCCAGTCCTTATTAAATAATAATAATAATAATAATAATAATAATAATAATAATAATAATAATAATAATAATAATAATAATAATAATAATAATGAAAAATGAAATATAACGTGCAATCAAATCCCGAACAACAAAGGCATCGACAGTTCAGCTAAAGGTTGAAGGGCTTCTGAAAATAGCGCCCTTTTCTCTCTACAATTACTTTCGCTTTCACTCTTTCGGCACTTAACCCTTTCGCGGCCTAGGTAAGCGCCGAAATGACGGTGCCAACGGAGCCTTTGCAACTATTCAGTCATCATTCGGAATGTAGCGGCCTGTGTAGGCGGCAGGCAGGCAGCGCCACGGTGACAACCGAGAGAGATGTTTATTATTACAGAAAAGCCAAGAGGTCGGCCTGACTCCCTTTTCTGTCTGCGACCGAGCGTTAAGTAAAGGATGGGGAAATCGTTAGAGCTGCGGAACGCCATGGGCGCAGTAACCAGAAAGCGAAACCGCGCGCGCCAACGTCGTCTGCTCTTCCCTTTCGTGCGCTTTTTTTTTCTTGTCCCGTTCTTTTTCTTTCTTTACGTGAGGTCACGCTGCCAGCGCAGCGCACATTTGACTGCGTCATTTGAGTGTACTGACCTCTTTTACGATGTTCACGCACAGCTGCAGTGTTCCGGAACGAACCACGACAGATGGCTTAAAAAAACCTGCACGTTTCGTGATCGCGTTCGCCTCCAAGATGCAAAAATGCGCGTAAATATCAACAGTACAAGTGATTGTTTCTTAATCGAAACTCATTTGCAGCAAGGTGGACGCATGTTAATTGCAGTCTCTAGAAAAAACAACAACGACAACAACCACGAACGACAAACGTTGGCGCTATTTCACTAAAAACGTTCATCTCCAAATCTGGCACTAGGCGCGTACATGTTCATTTTCAGTTATTATACTTCCAACTACGACGTTGGTGTGTTCCAATTTTCCTATGTGCGACGCTGTTGCGTGATGCACCATGATGCTATATACACCAACCTTTGCATTTCTTCAATTCTTTGAACAGTACACTAAAACGCGTTCGTTTGCCCCTAAACAAAACAGCTCTAATGCACTTGTACACACTTTTTTGGCTCGTGACTGTTCCGATCAGCGGTAAGTAACGTATGCAACAACTTCGGTACAGTAAACTACGCTTACGTACTGCATTTCACAGCTTCCGCTCGCCCATACACCATGCAATGCCTGCCGTTGGAACGACATGCAACAACTGCTGCGCATACCCTGTCTTCACTGGAGTAGGAGCTCTCTTCCGCCGAGCAGAGACAGCTGTGGATGACTTCCAACAGGGTTTCTTCACTCGCCGCGCGGCCAGCCATGCGCAGCTGCACACTACACGTGGTGCGCAGCGTGATTTAATGCATGTGTGTTTATAGCTTCTTTGTCTTCTACACAGGGTGGGACGGGCAACTCGTCTTTGCCTCGCGTCACCGCCAACTCAGCCGCGCTGAGAACGTGCTTCCTGCTGGGAAGCAGCTTGAACCTTTGTCCACCTGCTAGGGCACCTCCTTGGTGCACAGATTGGAATGTTGATTGCAATCTGGCGTCAGTACGTTAGTTCACTATATGAGAGCGAAATAAAGCGAGCGAAAAATAATGGCGCAGCTTACAATTTTAATGTTGTTTTCTTCATCATTGGGGCCTTGACACTTATTCTAATTCTTGCCCGCTACGCCAGGATGAGTGTTAGCCAAACATTTAGTATCTACATGTAACAGCTGTGTTCGAGTGGCGCCTTATATATACACACATTCACCTATGTTTTATTTTTATTCTACGTCATTGGAAATTTTCTGCTCGCCACTGATTTGTGTCCGCTGAAATGTTGCAGTAATATTGCACGTTTTACTATAGTATTGCTTGTCGTCTATGCACGTCTGTAAAAGAAGCGATCCCGTTGTTTTAGAGGCATAGGATTTGGTTATACCTGCTAAACTTGTTTTTAATGCAAATTACTGTATGCACTCGGCTGTGACGCTTCTTTAAAGATGAAAATCGAACGAATTGATGCTGTGGTCTGAATCTTTTATATCGATGATTGCAACATGCACATACAAGCACATAAATGTTGCTAGGGGATACATAACGCTTAAGCTGCCTGGATGTCTTCGGCCGCCTGGAGGCACTCTAGCGTAACTGCTAGCAATGCGCACCTTGTGGTTATTAAAACGTGTTGACGATTAGGGAATTCCTCAAAATTATCAGAAAATCTGTCAACGATTGACGCGGAACGTGTTACGAAACCGCAAGTGCACGGCAATCAATATCCAGTCGTAGCCAAAATAAGTACAATAGAAGCCAAGACAACACAGACCACAAGTCGTTCAAATCCATGTTTGAATCGGTTGTTTTCTGGTGCTTCGCGCGTTGGCGCGTTTTTAATTGCTTGCGGTTCAGTACGCTCTACTTGCAGTAGAGCAGAAGCTTCTTCGTGAAGTGTAATGTTTGAGATGGAAACTACAGTTTTACATCAGGTGAAGTTGTGCTTACTTCGCTACCGGACATTTATTTTTTCCGTTTAATGTGAATCTGTATATATGCCCGTTGCGGACCGTTAAGCCTACCGACCATGGACTTTGACGACACAGACTCTCTCGTAAGTTGGACACTGTCCGTGTTCGGCGAACTGCCCTTCGACCTCCTTGAGGAGACGTGGGTCAACGCGGCCTGGGAGAACAGGTACACTGACTTAAGTCTCCCCGACGTTGACTTGTTGGAAGCTGTTGAGGGAAACAGCCATGCCCTCTTGGAGGCGTTATCGACTGCGTGCGAGGTGTGCCAGAAGTGGTCTTGCGTCTCGGACCCTGACGCAAACGTAGGCGAAGAAGACAGCAGTGACGACAAGTTGTGGAGAGCGCTTATGGACAATGGAGTTCATTACAAGGCGCTGCTTGGCCTGGTATACGTGGGAATCGGCCAGGGTAACTTGTCAGGCGCCGCGCTCGTGAAGAAGAAGATAGCCTTGCGCTTTTCTAAGCTCTACTTCAATCTAGTGCTTGTGCCGGGAAGCTCGGCGTACAGAATTTTTCAGGAGAGCCTGTTCCAAAGCGCCATCCAGTGTTTTCGTCTTCCGAGCAAGAACACCAATCTGAGCGGAGATGGATCCAGAAACGCGTCGCAGAGCGGGAGTGCGAGAGGCGGCGGTCGTGGTAGGAAAAAGCAGTCAGCCACCCCTGCCGAAGACGCCGACGGCAATGAGAGCACGACTGTCGAAAGCGAGACGATATCGGAGTCGATGCTCCTCGACTTCATGACCTGTATGACCGATTCGCTGAGGGACCTCGTTTGGGCTCTGCAGACGTTCAGCCTGCGCTCCTACGGTGAGGTGACGGACTTCCTCATCCAGCACATGTGCGAACTGGTGCAGCTCGACATTCCGGGTGCGGACGTGCGTTTCAACATCGGCGTGGAGCAGCAATTCCGCGCCTGCCACTACCGCCAGCTGACCTCGTACGCTTACTGCGCGCTCAAGCTAGTGTGCCTGCCGCACCACGGGGAGCCCGCAGACAACTTTCGGACCATCGCCAAGAGCCTGATGCCGCACGTGCTCATGCTGGCCGCCGGCAATGCGCAGTCTGTGACCCGGCCCTTCACGAACATCCGGGACAACGCGGTCGCCTTCGTCTGTCACGTGTTGCAGACGTGCGACGACACCCTCAAGGAGAGCTTCCAGGACGTGGCCATCATACTGATCCACAATCTCGCCTTCCACGCTGTAGACCGAACCGACTTCAGGCTGAAGACCGCGCACGCCGTGCTCATGATCATGGGCGAGCTGACGGAGGGGCGCTTCCAGCGCGCCGTCCAGTGGTTCATCAAGCTCACAATGGTGCCACTGGTCAACCGTCGCATTTTCGCCCTTGAGATGATCTTGGCCCTCATATGGGACGAGCGGGTGGTTGACCAGCGGTCGGACCTGCTGCTAGCTGCCATGAAGCGCTGCAACGACAAGGCAGCTACGGTCAAGACCAAGGCACTGTCCGTGCTTGCGAGTGTAACGAGCGAACAGCACGACCTGTGGACGCCCCTGCTTAAGGTGTGCAACCCGGTCGAGCCTGGACACGAGGGCGAAGGAGAACAGGTGGCCGTTGAGGACGACCGGCTCTCCCAGCTCATGGAAATGCTCAAGTATCGGGCTGAAGACTCTAAGGTCAATGTGCGCAAAGCAGCACTCTCTCTGCTGCAGAATGTGCTCTGTGCCAGCAATGACTTTATCAAGGCGGAGTATGTGGAGGTCAGTGAGTTATCCAGGAAACATCGTTACCCCTTTAAAGGGACACTAAAATAAAATAACAATTTGTCGGAGTAAAAGCTTAATGTATGACAATGTATAAAATGACAATATTATTAACAGCAGTGCCCTAATTAATCGAGAAATTAATGTAAATGCATGAGAACACATGTTCCACGAGTAGGACATTCGCAAAGTTATCTTGGATGATATCAGACTTACCACCTACAATTAATGACTAGCAATTGAACTAGCTGCACTAAACAAACCTTCCATGCATCAAGAGACACAATGAAATTCTGCTTGTTTGTTTCTGTTTGATTCATGGAGAAAAGAATAGCCAGACTTTACTATGGGCAGTGGTGCGAGTGGTTCAAAAGTTCAATTTTCGCTTGGTTGATGATGGTGATGGTGATCATGATGATTTGCTGCTGTTCCCTTTCAAACGGGCGGGTGTACTTGCAATATGTGAAAAATAAAAAAGATGAGAAAAACAATAAAAATAACAAAAACCAACAGACGTGCCCATCAAAAAGGAAGAAAACTGAACAAACAGAAAGGGGTGGGGAAATTAGAAGAAAGCACAAGCACAAGGGCGTGTTCAGTTTGTGTTTGCTAACACAACCGCGCTTTGACACTGCACTGCCTCTATCTAGTCATTACACTGTGCCACCTTGTGTTCGCGACCGCTGTGCCACAACCACTGCCCTCCAGCGTTCAAGGCGCCGCATCGGCATTCTCGCTGCCTGCAGATCAGTCTCTCCATCTTTCTCCGCAAAGCCCAGCGCAGAACGCAACGACTCCGTGCGTGGGAGTCCTATCTGTCCGCACTCTATCATGAGATGCGCAATTGTCTTGTCCGCACTTCCACAGGCACGACACAGAACCGAAGCCGTCTCCCCACCAATCGTTTTCTTGTACGTAAGCGTTGGAAGCGCGCCAGCTCGTGCCTCGAACAGAAGCGAACTCCCGGTGCTGTTGTCCTAAATGCGAGCTGAGCCTCTTGTGCTTTTACTGTTGCGGTAAAGTTCAAGGGTAGCTTTTGCACTTATTGCGTGTTGCCATAGCTCTTCCTCCTTGTCGCGTACCCGTTCACTCACCCCCTTGGTATAGAGTCTTGGAGTTTCTGCCTGTACCGGCTCTGTGAATGAGACGTACTTCTTTTCAAGTTGGTACACCCGGTTCACCCAAGTTGTACGTATACAGGTTGCCGCAAGGTATTCGAATACCTGCCTTGCCCAGCGCTCTCCGCACATGAATTGAAGGCGACCCCTGTACTTATTTGTTGCAAAAGCCTTACCAGGACAGGTCATGCCATCTAGCGGGGCTCAGGTGAACCAAGCACGTTTGTCATCTCGAAGGCTATGATGGAAAATTGTTCAATGGCCGTTGTTGCATGGAAAGCCGGGCAACGTTGTGCACGGCAGCAGTGACGTGAAACGTTCTGCTTCTTGAGACGGGTAATTTGAAGTGTGCTAACGCGATGTGGACCACTAAAATGCGATATTATTGTAAAATAAGCACTCCATTGGCACAAAACACTGAGGTTACTGGACCACTATTTCAGCTATGAGTGTTGACATATTTGACATAATATTTGCAAGGGAATACATACTTTAAGTATGTATTCCCTTGCCATGAGTTCTTTAATAATGTTGTTCATAATCATAAACACATGCAATTAATAGCAATAGAATATGTAATTAATAGCTGTAGGTCAAAAGCAGGGCTTCTGTTAGTGTGGTTCTCGTGAAGTAAAATTTTTGGTATGAACAGTTGATGAAAGTTTTGATTGCTTTTATCAGACATAAAGAACAGATGCTTTAGCATTAATATAAAATTTGGTGGTGCCAAACATTTGCAATCTCTTGATGGGAGTTGACTCGACGGCAGGCTTGTATTGCCAGACTCTGAGAAGGTAACTTTGCTATCTAAAAGCAAATGCTGTTTCTATGGACTGAAAAACTAAGCTAGTGATAATGAGGATCTGAGAATCCGTCGAAGTCGCACCTTCGACATGCCAAACTGACACCAAGACAAGAACATTTCCATGATCTCTTTGAGTTTGTTTGAACAGGATTCTACTGTGTTTTAAGCTGCTGGGTTTAACATGTGCGTCATGACTTGTTGTCAAGGTTCCCATCAAACTTTCTGTGCCTGAAATCGCTCATGTTGAAATAGTTAGTACTCCTTAACTGGGGTGGGGGGGGGGGGTGAAATTTCTTTGTTGCAAAAGCCTTATCACAGGTGGGTGGCAACAGATTGGCCATGTTTGATTGACCTAAATACATAGACTCTCATTGCACCCACAGAGGAGCGACTATTGTCTTAAGCGCTCACTGGCGTGCATATGGATCATTATCGTTCTTAATTGTGCAGTGCATGTGGAATGCCATGTTTTCAGTAAGTGACAGCAGCCTTGCATTTCACATTGTGCATGAAGAAAGTACCATTATCATGGAATCAAAGCTTTGCCAGTAGCCATCAGTCCACTTTTTTATTTTTCTGTGCTGCCTGCCCTCTGTCATTTTGGTAGGGCTGGGACAACTCGTATCTTTTCCGCAACTTTTCCCACCGGTGCAGTTGCGCATGCACCGTGGCACAAATAGGTGGATTATTTACTCATGCATGTACAGATGCATCCACTGTTAAAGGGAATGCCTGCGTGCACAGCATGTTTAGATTTCTCTATTTTACAGGCACATGGTGGCTTTGAATTGCATAAAGTACTGGTGGTGGTGAGTTCCGACTTCTCTTGACTGATTAGTGACATGGATGAAAATTGTTCTTTTGATTGATATGTGGGGTTTAACATCCCAAAACCACCATATGATTATGAGAGACGCCGTAGTGGAGGGCTCCGGAAATTTCGACCACCTGGGGTTCTTTAACGTGCACTCAAATCTGAGCACACGGGCCTACAACATTTCCGCCTCCATCGGAAATGCAGCCGCCGCAGCCAGGATTCGAACCCGCGACCTGCGGGTCAGTAGCCAAGTACCTTAGCCACTAGACCACCGCAGCGGGGCGAAAATTGTTCTCTAAGCCACTTGCTGTTAGAGGGCCCGTAATATTCACGGTGTTCATTCGAGTGTTCCCTTTAACAGTAAACTGTGCTGTGCGTTTGTTCACCCAGATTCTGAAGGAAAGCTGCCTGGACCTGACTTTGCTGGTGCGTAAGCAGGCGCTTTACTCTTTGACCAAGTGCCTGCGCGCACACCCAGAGGAGGAGCTGCTGCTGCGGCTCTGGTTGGAAGGGGCACTTCCATTGGTGCTGGATGCAGAAAACACTGTCATGGAGAAGGCTGTCGAGGCTGTCGAGGAACTGATCCTGGGGCCCTTGTGCCTTGCAGCACCGGGGCCCGACTCCAGCCTGGCCTGGCGTTTACTGGCACAGGCAAGTGCCATTAATGTAGTAGTTGTTCTCTCAGCAGCTGCAGGAATGAAAAGCGCAGTGCACAGTTTTTTAGGCAAGAGGGGGCACGCTCGTTTGCTTTCATTCTCCTTAAAGTGCCAGTAAATAGGCTTCGGCTTTTTCTTTCACATTTCCTAAACACAAGCTCACTAATATATGCAGGCAGCTGCAGCAATCACACCTCATGAATATCCAGTGCCGCGTAGACGCTTTATTTCAAAGAAAGATTCCTGCACCCTTTTCCGGCACCTGTCCAAACATCCTCATATGCCAAGTGACATAGCCTTGCCTATGGGCAATGCTACATTGCAATGACTTCGCCACTTGATCCTCTGCACTACAGAACTGTGACATAACCTTGCCTATGGACAATGCTACGTTGCACTGACTTCGCCACTAGATTCTTTGCTCTACAAAACAGTGTCTTGGCCCTGCAGTGTTGCGGTTTTGGCCGGGCATTTATCGCACTTTTCACTACACCACTAGGGAAACCCTTGCACTGCCCTGACACAAGCGAAATGTGAAGGAAGCCATGCTCGGTTGTTGACTGTGTGTCATTTACGTTGCCGAACTGGACATAGTCATAACAGCAGGCTCCACTGTCGATGACTATGACCCCCTATTGGCTGCTGTAAAGGGTGGGAAGGCCGAGTGAGAAACTGAAATCAGTCACTGACGGATTTTTCGGACTTTGATAATTTAAACTTGTTGAGTGTTTCGGACTTCACAAATGCGCCGTCAAGGTTCCCTGTGTGATAACGCGTCTTCTGGACCGATTTTTCAGACAAGTTCATCTTCCAAAGTTCAATTTTTCGGGCTGAATTGTCTGTTTTGAGCTATGCCGCTCGATTTTAAAAGCCACCATGTTGGATTTTTTGTTTACTTGGTCCAGCTCGGCTTGCAGTGGCTAGTTGTGTGGCCTCCAAAGTGGGAAGCACGCATAATCTTGCAGTTTTAGAGGCCACAATTAATCTTTTTTGGCTAGGGAAACAGCAAGAAAGTAAGCCTTATCATCATCATTAATATGCTGGTAGGTTTTTATTTTCTGGGCTTTTGTGTTTCTAGTCGTCATTGCGCCCGTGGTCGCGTTAGTGGTGTGCCAACTGTGTTTGAGCCAGCGTGTGCTTGCTGCCCTTGGCGGTTCGCTCCGTAGGAATCCTTGTTGGTTACAGCGCTCGGCTGATGACCTGGAACTCCCTGGTTCGATCGCGGCGGTAGCGTTTTGTTGTTAACGAAATGGTGGAGGCTCAAGTACTGTGTGTTGTCGGCGCAGGTAAGACAAGCCCAGACCGTCTCACCAAACATGTGAGAAGTGGCGCCCATCTTTCTGTGGCTGGCATCAAGCTTTGTTTGCTTGCTTCCAAGAAGCCACCAGCTTGGCCGCCGCCCGCAACGGTCGGCGGCAGGGATTGCCAACGTGCATTCCAGAGGTGTTACTGTAGCCCGTATAGAAACAAATTTGCTGGTGTCCAAAAACAGCATGAAGCATGGCAGTATTGGGGATTTTTGTAAGGCTTTCCTAGTCCAAATCAATTTCATTTTTATGGCTTGACCATTTTTTCCGACTGTTAGATTTTTTGAACTGTTTTGCAGTTCCTTCCATGTCCGTAAAATTGGGTCGGCGACTGCATACCCTGTAACTTCCTCATTACAGCACTTACTTGCGAAATTATTGCAGCAGCATGTTCACATCGTACAATTCCACAGTTATTGCTCCACGATACATTTTGGACTGTAGATTTGTGTACAGGCTCTTTAAAGATCACCATGAGAAGTGGAGGCTAGATAAACAACAAAATGCCACATTTTTTAATATTGTGAAATAAAGCTAGTTACGTATGTTGTGGACGGTTTAGGGTACATGATGAGAGCAGTTGTTTCTCTGGGGAAGGGGAAAAATATGATAAATGCTTTAGTGTGTGCATGTGGTAGATGAAGCTGTAAATGTGACTAGTGCAATGAGATATGTAAGCGGCATAGGTAACATAAGGCTTGCATGAAATAGAGGATAAAATAACTTAATGAAAATGGGAGAGAGTGCTGACATGGGCATGGAAAGATGAGAGTTGAAGTTTACAGTAACATCATATAATGAAGCTCGTAGGAAAGTTAGTTGGCAAGGATGTGATGTGATTCACACCACAAATGTGATGTGAATGTTGTGGGTTGGTCCCGCACTGGTGGTGATGTGCCTTTTTTCCACAAAATTTTTTCTACATCGCTGCATTTTATTTGAAGAACCAGTAAACAACCCCGAGGTCTAAAAATTGTTGTGAAGAGAAATATATGTGCTTTTGCTTTGTGAACAACCTGCCGCAAGAATTTCACGGATACGTGCTAAGGAAGTTACTGGGGCTAGAACATCGGTTTCAGCTGATTTAAATTTTTCACATGGCCTTGCCACCCTTGTCTATCACAGGGAGGGCAAGGCGAAACCCGTCGTCGTGATCGGTTTAGACTAATTGAGAAACCACGTGCTATGTCAAGTCACCGATTGGCGACTTTGCGTCAGTGTGCGTGAAAGAGGATTGGTCAGGCGTAGGAAAGGAGTGCGGGAATTGTTTTTCAAGATGAAGGCTGTACGGGGCTTGCAGCGCAGTCATACTCGGAAAACGTGATCGCTGTAGTCTACTCTACGAATTGCTGAGCTTCTTTGGGGTGTAAAAGAAAAGTCTGAGCCTGTTGATTAATCTTCTAAAGCCATAAATAAGCTTCCTATGCTATATTTGGCTTCTTGTAGTTTTGAAAAGAAGAGGCTCCGTGATTGAACCGTTTTCTTAAGTCAATTTCTTAGGATCTCAACACCACTGGCTTTAGTACGCTTAGGCAGCTGCTCCAAGGAGGTGATATTTCTGATAATAATGGCATTACATTTTGATTGCGCAGCATTGGCAGGCATACAATTACCATGCAGGGCTTATATTGTAGTGTCTACCAGTTGCAATAACAGTACCTTATTTCTTTGGTCCTACTGCCCATCTTTAGATATCTCAAGGGCCATTCCGTGGACACCACAAGTACCTCCAGCAAGCTGTGCTGCAGCTGAATCGTGCTGAGAAGTTGCGGCCCAGTCAGCTGAACATCCTGAAAACTTACGTCGGGGGTCCTAATGATGCCTCTGTGTGGCTGCTGCTTTCGAAGCTTTCCCTGTACTGTGACCTTGGCCAGGGCAACTTTGCCTTCTCCTATTGGAAGCAGCAGTGGGAGGAGCTGTCGGAAGGGTCGAATAACATGCGGGCCTCCGATGAGACGACCAACCATGTGCTCATTGTCCTCAAGAAAGTGTCTCGCCACTTGTCATCGAATTCACTGCGAGAGCTAGTTCATGACCTCGAGCAGCGGCTATCCCAGCTGAGTCTCCCCGTTGAGGTTATTGCCAACGCGGTAGACTGCTTGCATTGTCTAAGACATAGCGTGCACAGGGAGCGTCCCGAACTGGGCGAGCGTGCTGTCCAGATGTGGTGCAAGCAGATGCTGGACAAGTGCCAAACATACCTTTCAGAGGTTGTCATGGGAGCCAAGGGTGAGGACAGCGCAGAGATGGAAGAACAGCTGGTGCGCCATCTCGTGCTCCTCGGGGAGGCAGCTCAGCCCGTACCCCGCGCAGTATCCAGCCAGCTTCACGAACTTGTCCAAGCTTGCATGACCAGTTTGGGTGGTCCAGAGCCCATGTCGGAGCCTGTTTCAAGGGAGGATGCTGCCATGTCGGAGCCTGATGCTGAGAAAAGTGAAATTAAGGAGAAGAAACCAGCCAGGCGATTTCGGGCTCGACTGCTGGGCGGCGGAAAGAACTGCCTACGAGCCACACGGCGCGTTCGTGCCCACGCAGTGATCGTGATGGGCATGCTCTGCATACAAAATGAAATGCTCGCAAAGACTGTTGTTCCGATCATGGGAAATTCCCTATCAAGTGCACAAGACCCAATGATGCGTGCCAACTTAATAGTTGCACTGACTGACATGTGCAAACGCTACGCCGTCCTGGTTGATCCATATCTGCCCATTGTGACACGGTGCATTAAAGACTCGGTTCCAGCGATTCGCAGCTTGGTCCTAACATGTCTTCTGCAGTTGCTGCAGCAGGATTTCGTCAAGCTGCACGGACGGCTCTTTTACCGTCTACTTTCAGCCCTCATTGACGAAGACCGAGGGATCCGCGAGCTGGCAGAGTTTGGGCTTGTGGACTGCGTGCATAAACGGAATACGCATGTCTTTTACCACCGGTTTGTAGAGTGCCTGTGCTACTTCAACTCTTACCGAGGTTGCAGTGGCCAGGCGTCGCAAGAAAATGTTGTCGAGACGACCGAGCGGGACCGACAACTGTTCAGCCTTGAAGGCGAAGGGCGGCGGGACCAGCGTATGGGGTTGTACCGCTTCATGTTGCTCAACATGCCAGATGAAGATAGGTTCAAGCTGACCCTTGCACTGACCCAGAGTGTGCTCGTGCCCTGTTCGGACGAGATGAACATAGGCCCCGGCATGGAAGAGGAGTGTCCCGAGCTGCTGCACGACACATTGCGGGTGTTGTGCTCTGAAGAGATCAAACTGCAGACCATTGCAGCTGCGGCTGAGGAAGCAGCTACAGAGGAGGACCCTGCCCAGGCCTTGCTACACACGACGCGCAAAACAATACTCAGCAGTGTGGTAAGTGTCTCTATGCTTTTCGCTCGGTTTCAGGTGTCGATTGTGTTTATTAGAATGTATTAATTTTGTTAAGTATAGTATGTAGTTCATAGTCTGGTCACTGCTGCAGTTTGCATTGCTTTATTCTGCTGATATGAAGCTAGTTGCCTACATGTTCTAACTTACATGTTCAGACTTGTTTGGCATGTTGTTTTTCTCTTGCTGTCATATTAGCCATTTTCAGTAGAACACGTACAGCATATTTTTTCTGAGGGAACCTTGTCTCCATTACTTACCTGTTGCCTAGTGCACTCGTGACCTGTGCTACAAGTGTAGAGCATGTTGGGATGCTCAGACATGAGGTCTGTTGTGTATTTTTACTGAATATCTGGTTTTGCAGAGGCTATGCTTTATCATATGTCTAAGCTACTTGAGCTCTTTGACTCTGCTGTGCTTTTGTTCTGTTGCATGTGTTACTTTGTGGTGGGCATAAAATATGGAGCAAGTGCATCATAAATGTTTGTGGGGGGGTTCTCTCTTTGTACTCTTGTTTGTTGAGTTCTCACTTTCCGAAAGGTGCTGTTGCATGAACTCCTACGAGCTCCTGGAGTGTACTTGGCTAAGGTTTTGTGCACTAAATCGTGCAGGTGCGGGAGAATTTGGTGGAGAACATGATCCCCGTAGTCATCAATCTCAAGAACAAGTTGGAGGCCGCCCGGTCACCCCTCCTGCGGTCACTGCTCATGTTCCTGCGCGAGATAATGCGCGACTACAAGGCGGAGGTCAAGGAGATGCTGTCGGCGGACAAGAAGCTGGCCAGTGAGGTTGCCTTCGACATGCGGCGCCTGGAACGGGAGGAAGAGGAAGAGGCCGCTGCAGACGGCCACCCAGCCACAACGCCAAAGACGCCGGCACGCGCCGCCAACCCGGAGCTCAGGGAACTGCTTGACACGGCTCGTAAGCTCAAAGAAGCAGCCATCAAACGGCGTTCTATTGTAGTGCTGCCAGAAGTGGCATCCGACGAAGGAAATGCACAGCAACAGAATGGCAATGGCGACGCCGTAACTGAAGGTGAAGGACATTTCTATAAGCACCTAATGAATAGAATGATCTCAGCGAGGGTTTCACCAGGCCATGATCTTTATGAATGATAGTGGTAGCCGTAGACCTCTGGAACCATATTAGTAAACTGAGCACCAACAGGAGCGACTCTTATTGCAAGGAGAAGTTCAGTAACCCAGAAAAGATGCAAGAACGAAATGAGGGGCGCGGTGATGTGAAGCTACTAGTAGGCTTGTGCCTACTAGTAGTTTAATTTGAAGTGAATAGTAATTTGCATAAATAATTTCAAATCTAATTTGCATAGTATATATCACATATTATAAAAAAGCGAGCATATTTGTCATTACTCAACTATCCTGCATAATGTTCTTTAATTGAAACAAGTCATATGCAAATATTGTTTTTTTTTTTTTTTGCTCAAAAGAAGTGGAAGCAACTTTGAGTGGTAGCAAGATTTGACTTTTGTTAGAATTCAAGTGATAACGTGCAAAATGTATTGCATTTTAAAATTTACTATACTTGGAGCACATAGGCCGGTATAAACTTAAAAAAAAAAAAATGATGAATCGATGTGAGAGTATATCTTGCATTTAACCTTGAAGTGGGGCCTCACGGCAGCAAGAATTCCTCCTGGATGGGTGCACTCTTGGTATAGCACCCATCCACTGCAGTAAAGCCACTTCTACAAGTTCACATGCGGAATATTCATTTATTAGTCCACTTCGATACTATAAATTTGGTTTAAAGTGAATTTGAATACTGTTATATTCGTTAGAATATTTATACAAGCCGAGGAACTAGGGGTTCATTGAGTCAATATAGCAGTAAAGATGCATGCAGTGTATTCCAAAATAAGCCAATGAATTATTAGTTCCAGGAACTGTTAATGAAGAGCATGACTACCTGAATGTAGAAATATACAGCTTCGGAATCTGTGACATCACACTCGTATACAGGCACTTTACCTCAGGAAAGCCAGGGACCAAAAAGGCTGACCATTGTTAGAAACTTATCATCGTTTGATTTTAATATGTTTTCATCTGTTGGGAAGCATCTCGTCCTTCGGACTCAACCTGCGGGGGTGTGGTGCGGACATGTTGTGGATGAAACTTTGCCTCCTCCGACCACCTAATTGGGAATGTGCATATTGTTATATGTTGGCAACTTCGACAGCATCTGAAATCTGAATTATCACGGACACCCTCTATTGACATGCATGCCCATGCACCTCACGGGAAATATTAGAATTCTTGTTGCACAGTTTTCGTAGCACAGTGTATATGTACTTTAGATGAGTCATATAAAGCATGGAGATGTAGGGAGGACTTTAGCGTAAATATGGTTAGCTGCAATATTTTACGCTTGAACCTCATTTCAAACAAAGTTGCATCCTACACGAAGATAAATTCGTTACATTGGAAATGTGTTGTAAAGGTGTGTTCTTAACACTACGTCTCTTGCAAGACTATTTTTTATTCAGTACTTCATTATTACCGATGTTTCGTTATATCAGGGTTCGTTATGTTGGGGTATGAGTGTGCTTTATAGCTATATTTTCGCTACTCTGTAATGATCGGGCAGTGCAGCGCATGCATACAGCCTTACTAGTGAACTACCTTGTACTTGCAACTGCTATCTGTTGACATTTATTGCACAACAATGACACTTGTAGTTTTTCCAAGATTGCCTGATGCCAAATGACCTTCTTCGCACGTAGCCCATTCTGCGACAGTGGGACATATACGTCCCGCTTTTTCTTGCACTTCTATTGCAATTAGCACAATGCTAAGTCGTTCGTATCTCACGCAAATCATCCTAACCTCAAAAAAAAATCTTTTACAATGCTTTCCAGGGGCGATTGTTGTGTTGCAATGGCATTCAATTTCAATGAACTTTTTATGACAGCTTCTGAATTTTCATCTTCTTCAGGTTCTAAGTTACGCGGCTGCTGACCCGCAGGTCGCGGGATCGAATCCCGGCTGCGGCGACTGCATTTCCGATGGAGGTGGAAATGTTGTAGGCCCGTGTGCTCAGATTTGGGTGCACGTTAAAGAACCCTAGGTGATAGAAATTTCCGGAGCCCTGCCCTACGGCGTTTCTCATAATCATATGGTGGTTTTGCGACGTTAAACCCCACATATCAATCTTCTTCAGATTGATGGAACTTACCAATCAATGTCTGAGAATTTTCTCTTCTTGTTTTTCAAAATGGCTTTAGCTTCCAGTCATCACATTTTTTTTTGTTGTAAATTTGCATAATAATTTGACCGATGAATGCATCGTATTGATCCCCTGCTAAATTGCCTCGTTCATACTTCAGTGCAATTGTAGATATTGGTGCATGGAATGACGTTTTTTTTTATATCGTATACCTCTCAAAACACTTGCACACTCAGGTAAAACAGCTGTACTCAAAAATAACAGCAAGGACAGCAAAATGGACAAAAAATTATTGGTGCATGCCGTGAAGTAAGCTTCACAGGAACAAACCACAGTGCTACGAATGGCAACTGCAGGTGGTGTTCTCCAGCTGAAAAGAGGCCCGCAAAGCTTTCTTCTTTACAACCTGGAAAGTGACAGTCCGCTGTGCCACTTGGTTCGGCTGTTTCATCCTACATACCTGTCAATACAATAGCTAGGCGGTGCCTTCATCAGAGAGTGTTTCCCCATTTTTCAATGCTGTCATAAGTTTTTTTTTTTTTTGCTAATTGACTGGCTTGATATTGATGAAATCAGTTTGAGTATTTTTTTAGTGTATATGAGTATAGCTCTACTCCAGTTCTTATATCATAGGTTGAAAAAAATGTGTAAAACTACAAAGGGGGTGGACTGTTTTGGCATCTGTTGAAAATTCCTATACTGAGGCTGTTATTGGAGAAAGTTAGGACGCTCATGAAGTTTTTCCAGTGCTGAGAGAGCTAACTTCTCTTTTTCTCTGTTTCAAATGCAGCAGACACCGATTCATTTTCCGCCACAGGAAATGGCGCCAAGAATAATCCTCCGGATTCAACCGCTGCCACAGGGAATGGCATAGAGAACAACCCTCCGAAGGAAGCAGCTGCCGAAAAGTCGGCTTCGAAATGCACACCTGGCAGCACACGGAAAATGAGCCTGGCTACCATGTTAACTAGCCTCAAATCCAAAAAATGTGTCTTGAGAGCCACTCCGACGGGACGGGCAAATAACTCATCACATAGCAAATCAACAATATCCACAACGAGAAAGTCTTCTTGCCATGCCACGCCACTGAGGGGTTCCAAGAGTTGCGCCAACAAGTCGGCACGAAAGGAGCTCGCGATGGACCTAGCTAATTGCGAAGCAAAAGAGCAGGCGAAAGGAGGAGATGTTCCGATGGAAGACGTTGCACCGGATTCCCCGCTGTCGCGTTGTTCCAGTTTATCAGATGTCAGCGACGTCAGTGTGCTGTCCAACGACGGCGCCACAGGTAAAGCAAAGGAAAGACTGAGAAAGAGCAGACAGACTCGAGCACTTCCTTTGGAGGTTCGCATGTCGGGAAGGCTTCGTTCACCGAGGAGGCGGTTTCCAATCGAACTTGGTGAAACCGACTCACCACCAAAACAAAGCTCACCACCACAAAACTTGGCACCGCCAGTAACCAATTCACCGGTGTGTTCAGAGGTGGATGGCGGTGAGTTTAAAAAGCCAGCAAAGACCTTGCAGTCTGCGAAGAAACTTGTTCGATCACCATCTAGCCCAAGTGGTACTTAGAGCAGCACGCTTGCGCGTGGTGAGCAAACAAGGAGGCTGGGCAAGTCTCCCGATATCAGTGTTATTAAATGACGTGCACATGTTACTTCATGACTTCACCGCCAAAACATAAAACATATGTACTTTTATCATGAAGTTGTATTTATATTTCATTATGATTGTTTAATGATATATATATAGAATGCACAAGTGACCTGCTCATGTTAATTTATAACTTCACAGCAGGAACATAAAGAAGCATATTTACACCATCTTCAAGTTGTACTTTTAACATTTTATTACGACTGTTTAATAACATGCCGAAAGCATTTGTATGTATATTTATTTTCGACAAATATTAAAAGATGATGAATGACAATGTTTCTAGAGTGTCAATGTCTTGGATGTAGCCGTTCTTCCCGTTTCATCACTTGTCAGCCAAGTCTGTCTGGTTGAAGTAGCAAGCGATGAGGCATATCATCAGGTTCAGAGGTAAAAGGTCGGGATCATCCTTGGAGCTCTGCAATGACAGTGAATTCATGAACTAAGCGCTGGGAAGAATGTCTTTGTCGATATCTCTCGAATCAAGTTGACCAGCTCTTTGTAGTCATTTTGCATAGCAAATTAGAATAATGTATATTAACACGTCCTGAAAAATAACATGGCAGAGAAATCACTTGAAGCGAGTGAAAATCCGTCTAACTGTGACGATGCAGCCCACGCTGCAAATGTTTCTAGTTACTTACCAGTTTTCTCCTTGCCGACGCACAAGCGCGAGCCAAGGCACGGATGTTGGAACACATGTCTGGGTGCAGTGGCTTTTCCGCACAAGCGAGTAGGGCATACAGCCATTTTCCCTTTAACAGGAAAATTTTTGCAGTTAATAAAAGTGCTTCCAACTAAAAAAATGTACGCAAAATATATTTGAGTCATTTGGTGCTTGTTACTGGCTCATCTCGTGTTTGCATAGAGGGACGTCAATAAGTGCACATGAACATAACGGTCTTAATGATGCAAGTGCCGGAGGCACGTTGGCTGTGCGACTGTTCGTAAATCTCTGGTTTATATTTGCGGCATCTCTTCTGCACATGCATGATATAAAAGATTTAATGTTAATGGAGCGTGATAATGATCACATGTACATTTGGAAAGTCTAATGAGATAAGTGATGCTTCAAAGTGGACGACATGGATGCTTTTTTCATTATTTTACCGAAATATCCGCTTTCAAAAGCACACTTACCATGCTTGCACAGAATCCCTCCTCTTCAATCCATTCTGCGCTGTAGCTGATCACTGCTTCAATTGTTTGCTGCACATCAAAAATAACATTTGTTCATGTGGTCAGCTGTACAAGGAATAGGCCAACCTGAGGGATGGTAGTGACAACGCTGACAAGAGGGTGAACACTTGGTGAAGCAGAGCCACAGAGCACATCTTTCCATCGGTCCTTCTCTGATATCCTTGGCTGTGTAAAAGTAAAGAATAACAAATTGAAACAATTTTTTTTTTCGGTGCAATGATGGCCGTAGTAGAACCCTTTGAAATATGCTGTAAGCAATGAGCTTTCCCAGCCACAACTCATGACGAAATATATACGAATGTAATCACCAAAATAGTAAGTTTCAAGCCTCAACAGATCTTTTCTGGCTGCCAAACTGCAATAATTACTGACTTTAATTAGACTTGGAATGCTTGCATCAGAGTGGACATTTTTAGTGTTCAGATTCGCGGCAAAAGTGGCACAATTTCGAGCAACTTGCACATACTAGTGGTTACACTAGAAGTTTTGATGTGCATCAATCCGTGAGCACTGTGCTTCTAAACTACACTAGTATGCAAATTAAGAAGAAAAAAAAGGTGGCTTTCCACCGTCTAATGATCCCCTCCAGCCAGTTGTGTTGCGGTCGCTTTTTGACACGCTGCTTCACGATTCCTTTTAGGAGTGTGGTGCGAAGGCATTTTCCCATGGGCTCATAATGACATGGCGATGCCATTGGCTGGAGGGGGGTCCTTTGACGGTGAAAAGCCGCTTTTTCTTGAGCTTTATCTGAGTATAGCATTGTCTGTTGAAGGAAAGGAGGACTCTCGCAAAAATTTTCAGCTGTTGTATTTTTCTTTTGCGTGAAATGAAAGGTCAAGTACAAAAGAGCCTAGAAAGTGCTATAATAAGTATTAGTGTGCTGTGAAAAATTGCAAACGTATATAAAAATGGCTAGTTTTGGTTCCTACTGTACCTTGACGTTGCAACCTGGTATGAGCTCCTTGCCATGTGCTAACACAAGATGTTGCATTTCTGTGCTTAGCCTGTTGTTGGCAGGCCGCAAGCAACGATTTTGTACGTTTTAGTACTTGATGTCATCAGCCATACTGGCTGATGAAGTTGTCAGGCTTGATACTGCAGCCTCGTGTCATGCTAATGCCGATATCAGTAAGTGTCGCATGTAAAAATTGACGTTACTATAAGTGACATTTTTAAAAATCTGTATTTACGAAGCTTCGCACTTTCTCAGAGTAATTTCTGTACACGGGAGATTTGTATGGCAGAGTAAACTCTTGGAATATTGGTATCGGTACCCCTTTGAACTTAAAAGTTTATCGATGACTCTCGGAAAACACTTTAAAGAATTGACCTACCAGCTTCACAGGAGATTTTTCCTTATTCCTCTTCAAAAGGGCTTTCCGTTTGATCATCTTCTAGAAAAGAAAGAAAAACAAAGGCAGGTTGCAAAAGTGCAAGAATATCATCCCCCCATTTTTATATTTGGTTATTAAGGATACTTGCCTCTCTAGCAAGATGGAAGTTGTAGACCTGCTTCCTTTGCCATCCACGAGAAGGCGCGAAACCCTCTGGAGGCGGCGGACAATCATTAGACTGAAACGCCAACACAAATAACTACTTGAAAGCATCGGCTATTCCAAGAGCTACCGTTTTAAGATCTTCATCACTTACATTAATGAATGGTACAGTTTGCTTTACCAGGAACTTGCTGGTATCCAATTTTGCCACGACAACATTGGGGCAGTTGCTGGCTTCTATTCTGCAACGAAAATGTCCAGCTGACATGTACAATCAGTCCTGGCTTAAGGATGGTTAATGCAACAGCTCTCGGCATCAGTGATTCAAAGCAGCGTGCCCAGCGCGTACGGATTGATTTCACACTACATCAGTTTGTACCAGTATACTCGACACAAGGTAATGTGGGCAAGCATGCAAGTGTGCACATGTCTACGTGCGTCTCCTCCTTGTCTCGAGTAGAAACAGCGAACAAAGATACACCTGTGTAATGTCTGAGATGATTTGTCTATCGCATACCCCTAACTTGCAGCAGACAATATGCTGACTGCTATACTACATTTGTGTACATGAACACCAATGCTAACAAATGCAATGCTCACGCCACCAATCATCTGTGATGATGGCTCATGCTAGATTCTATAGAGGTTGCTTAGGCAAACATCAGCAATTAATGATGTGTTCTTTATCTAGACTTCTTGTTCTTTTTTTCTGTCTTTCACTGTCCCTCTCTTTGCCAATATCCGATCTTAAACATTTGTAATGATGTGTTACACTACATGAATAAACCTGTCCCACAACCAACACCAGTCCCTGTCCCCTTCTGAAGTATACTGTGCAGAAAGGATGTGTTAAATAATTCAGCGCTAATGTTCTTGTGTAGGCCCTTGTGTAGATCTAGACCAGGTGCCGATGTTGTTTAGGTCTAGATAGGGTGCATATACTGGAAATGTCGGGCACACTCACTGCACTCTCCTCAAGTACTCATTGGCTGTTGTAGGAGGGAGGTCCGCGCCGTAGTCTTCTCCAGTGTCTTCCACGGGAAAAGCTGGCTCGGCCTTGTCGTCGTCTGACATGTTTTCTGCGATAATTGCGTGCACCGATTATGATCGAGTGTCACTTCCAGCAGGAGTTTGTGCTCGCTATACATGTCCTACGTGCAGCGCACAGACGAAACCATGCACCGATCTAACATTCATTACGTTCGAGGACGAACACGGTGTTCACTTCTTGAATTGTCGTAGAAACTGCACTAAAGCAGGACTCACAGTAAGTTCAGTTAAAAGCCGCAAATGCGAGCAAATATTCACATATTAGCTACGTGAAGAGATAATTACTTCGTCATAGTACCTGCAGTGCTTCCGTTGGCGTTGATCGAAAATGAGCCGTTTTTTCAGATATATCAAAAGGAAGGCTTTGTTGGTGCTTCAACCGCGGACCGCTACGGCTCGACGCTGTCACTTGACGTCGCCGATGCTCTGTTGTAAAAACCGGTGCATGACTGCTTCACTTTGGTCCGCAGAAACTCTCAAAACGTGCGATCAACGTTCAGTCGCCGTGGAATTAACGTCTCTCACCATTCACAACAGCGGACTAACACCACAGCAGAACACAAACCCCTACAGTTAATTCAAAAGTATAGTGAAGAAAGCCTGGAAGTAACAGTAAAGAACTGTTGCGTGCAGTTGGCGCGTTACACATTTGAGGACGACACTGTTTAAAAAAAAATGAATTAATTATTGCAAGAATAATTAGCTAATTCCAATATTTAAAAAAATATATTATGTGTATTTTTATAGTGAAAAACATTTATTTTGTAGCATCATTTTTCTTTGCAAAATTAAACTACCAATACTCAATATAGCCTTCATGATTTGGTGGCACGCTTTTTAATCTCAAAGGCTATACTGTATGTCTGCTCTTTTTTACACGTTTTGGCAAAGTGGCGCTACATTCGATAGCGAGGTGTTTCAGCGGTTTCGGTGACGAACATCTATCGCATCCATCCATCGCGTTCGGTGTTCGCGCCGAAGCGTAGACGGAAGCCAGTGTCTTGTGCCGGCTGGCGACGCCGCCCGTGCTGCGAAGGCATTGAAAGGCCGAACTTCCGAAGCGCAAGCCATCTTGGCGGAAGTTACCGCCAGGAAACAGATGACATATATATGTGTCTGAGGGTGAAAAGTTTCAATCATATTACGATTTACGCTGGCGAGCATAATGCCGTTAGCTCAGCTTGCGGCGGACCCTTGGGTCGAGATCAAAACGGACTGCGGGGTGAGTGAGCCCGTCGCCTATTCATTATTCGCCGTCGACCCGACGTCCCCTGTAACACAAACATTGACCGGCTTCGCTTTCTTTGCCTTGTTTTTGCGTGGCCATGATATTTGTTGGCATAGCTGCTGTTGAGTAGCGCTGTAACTTCCTTGCGCTCGTCGTAGGCGAACGCCCCGCGTATTTCGCAGACCTTGTTTATGAGACTTTTTTTCTAAAACACGTTGGATTCCATGTTTGCGCATCTGGCCATTATTAATAGCTCTTTTTCATGCGACCCTCTTGAAGCTTTACCTTGTATTCCCTGGATCGCGTATCGGCGCACGATCCGAGTTTTCGGGTGGTGTTTGCCTTGTTCGAAAGGCTGACGCGACGATTCCCTGAAAGATGTAATCCTCGGTTCGCAGGCCACTGCCATACGAGAACGACGATAAGATACAGACCTGCGCGCATTTCAATCTCTGTATCCCGTTCTTCTCCTTTTCCTCAATGCCCGTATCTATCGTCGTTTTTAACGTTCTTCCGAGGAGTGTCGGTCGTGTCGAGCAGTGCTTGGCAGGCACTTGGTACGATCGGAAAAGTTGGGTAGAGGTTTTTCGCAGGGCGAAGGAACACCGTGTCGCACTTTTCATAGGATGCGAACCTCAGCGCAGCGAGCTGTGAATGCCGGCATGTCACGTAGTTGATTTTTTTTTTTTTGTTTTGTAAGCTTTGACGCCGTGTAGACTTCTCGCATATCCGCTTGACGCGTTCTTCATGGTACGTGTGTCCACTGGAACGATAGGAATGCATATCGCAGGGGCTTGCGGGCTCGGCATATTTCCTCATTCGAATACGTGTATAATTTCTCAATATCTCTGCCTTCTTCCTTTTAAACATGCGCCGAGTTCTATTACGGTGTGACAGCTAGTGGGTTAAATTGGAGAGTTCTCAAACATCCCTCCACTTCCGCGATCCCTCACGGTGACTGATATTCGTGGCGCCAGTGTCGGGCTCCTGAAGTATTGTCATTTGATCATCTGTGTCCTGTTTCAGTATCGCTGGCCAGCGCCTTTCGTTACGTGGTGTTCGGAAATGAACGTCCGCATTCCCTAATGTGGTGGTACATTGGCCCGACTGCTTTAGTCAACTGAATAATGAGTTTGTAATAATTCGTGAAATGTAGCTTTTATTTCCAATGAATTTCTTAGCCCCATTAGAGAAGCATTAAAGAACTGGCGTGGGTGGATACTTTGAAAAAAGAAAGCAAGCCGTTGTTCTAGGTCGGCTGTTTGTATTACATTGCTTAGGTAACGCTCTGATGCTGGTAATATTAATTTCACAATCTTGAGTACTACATGATGGCAGAGGGGTATTATGTTGTCTGATAGGTTTGAGCACACCTGCTTGATTCCAGGCCCCTGTAGTGGCATTCCGAGAGGGTCGAAATGCTAACATATCCAGGTGCATACTATAAAGGACCCCTTTGGTGTCCTCCACTACGGAGTGCCTATAATGGTTTTTGTGCATAAAACTCCATAATTTAAAATTTTTTATTTGTGCTTGGCACAGCAAGACTGCTATTGTGTTCTCATGAAGCAGTTCAGTTATTTGTAAACTTTTGGCACAGATAATGCAAGAAAAAATTTGATTGGAATGGTTTTGGCTTTACATCACAAAACCCTGTTTAATGTAAGCTTGACACATAAGAAATGCCACATTTATGAAGAGTTGACTAAATGATCGTGATAAATAGTGAAAGTGAACCTCTTCTTGAACAGCACACTCTTTAAATGTGCTAAAGGCTATCAGTGTGTTTTTTTATTAGTAAATATCTAGTCTATATTACATATTTTTATGGTTATGTCAGTGTGGTGTGCATTTAAAATGAATTGTTTCAACATAATCGTTACGCCTTTATTATTCAGGGTCCGCCAGGTGAAGATATGGCTGTCGATGAAAATGATGAAACCCAGGTTAGTGGTCAACATTTATTTGATAATTGTAGTCAGCAGTTAGCCGCACAAATGGCTGCAAATCGACAGCGGCAAGCCAAAAACTCCGAGTACGTACAACAAGAAGATAATGGGAAAGGCAACAACTGCTGCGGCAATTCCCCCAAAGCGATAGAAGGCCTATGCCAACGATGACGTGACCATGTCATACCTGTGTCTGTTAATGCTTTAACTTCTCTCTGCTGAGAATCGACGTAGAAACAATCTCGCATCACCGAGCTAAAGCCTAGCAACGATTTAGAAACCAGCCTTGAAACTGCATCATCAAAGCTAGGGCCTATAAACAACCTCGAAGTTACCAGATTAGTCTTCAGAATCGTCTGGTTTCGCTGTTTCAAGGCTTGCGCGGTTGAAAGGGGTACTTACACCAAAATTTCAGCATTGCGTTTTTTTTTTTTTTTTTGCTGCAATGTGTTTCTGGAGAACTGTTAGTCATAACACGACACATTGTTTTCCGCAGCACTTGACAGATAATTCATTACGGGCTTGTTATTACCGACCTGTGTCGGTTACAAGCCACTGGGTGCAATTATCGCGGCGGGTGCAACACTCGACCGTGTCAGCCCACAGAACTGCGACGCACTTCCATGCGGTTTGAATCAAAAAGCTTTTTTTGAACAAAAAACGGGACTGCAATGTCATTAAACTCAAAACTTTCAGCTCTTGCGTCGCTGCCACGGACTCCCGAGCAGCTGCAGAGTAATAGTCTGCTGCAGCAAACGCTGCCAAAGAAAAACTGCAGCAATGACTTCGTCATAACTTGCTGCTGCATGGGTTGTGCCACTGCAGGAGTGCTTGCGCCATCTCTCGCGACTGTTTAACTGGGCCGACCTCGATGCAATCTGGGCATGATGGAGAACCTGTATTACAGTAGATTTGAGAGCCAAATGGGGAAAGCAAACAATGGGATGAGAGCATCCCCTCAACTTCGGCAGTTGTTTAAACATCTTGCTCACTTTTTTCTGCATGACTGCTAATGTGAAACATATATAGGGCATCTGGATGACTGCGACATTGCTTTCTTTCTGTTCACTTCTAGGTGTTTCTAGTGAAGAAGATTATGGGTCCAGATGCGGGAACATTATACGCCATGAAAGTGTTGAAGAAAGCAACGTTAAAAGGTTTGCGTCATTTTCTGACATTAGTGTTCTAAAGAGGGGCCTTGCGTGTCATCCATCATGTTGGCTTATCTTTTCTTTTCACAGTACGGGACAGGTTAAGAACGAAAATGGAAAGAGACATCCTCGCTGAAGTCCGGCATCCATTTGTGGTGAAGCTGCATTACGGTACGGTTCTATTCACAGCATATTATGGAACCATTAGCTCATCCACGGCTCTGCTTGACGGATGCTTACTGAACTCTTCTTTTAAATTTGCAGCCTTCCAGACTGAAGGAAAACTGTACCTAATTCTAGATTTTCTGAAGGGTGGAGATCTTTTCACGAGGCTAAGCAAAGAGGTGAGCACTGTTACTCCTTTACCAAGTATTCAACATTGCAGCATATGTTTATTGTCAAGGCCTTCATTATTATTTTTTTTATTCATTGATGTGTGCTGCCATGTCACTTTATTCTTTGTGGAAGGTGCATATCATCGCTTGACTAATACGTGCACACCGAGTTGATCTGCAAATTTTTTCATCTAGTTCTGTTTCCCCTTGTATGTGGAATTTCTAAGAAAAGCCAGAAGTGTTTTGACTGCTTTGCATGTGGAAATAACAGCTGCAGATTGTGGCTTGCTGGGTGTTTTACAGTTGACAGTGCTGTTGCTTGTGTTTTTTTTTTTCTATTTAATGTATGCCCCGCCACGGTGGTCTAGTGGCGAAGGTACTCGGCTGCTGACCCGCAGGTCGCGGGATCAAATCCCGGCTGTGACGGCTGCATTCCCGATGGAGGCGGAAATGCTGTAGGCCTGTGTACTCAGATTTGGGTGCACGTTAAAGAACCCCAAGTGGTCAAAATTTCCGAAGCCCCTCCACTACGGCGTCTCTCATAATCAAGCAGTGGTTTTGGGACGTTAAACCCCACAAATCAATCAATCAATCTATTTAATGTATGCTGTGCATAATAGGACACATTCCGTAATTGCAGCAGCCTTTTGTTTAGTTATCCGAAGTATTTGTTCCTTTCTTTTTTTTTTTTCACATCAGCTTTTTGTGTTTTCCGACTGTGTATGTCTACGGTGAGTTAAATAACAATTATGGCCTATTAAATTGGCTTTTTTTTTTCGTCTCTTTTCAGGTCATGTTCACTGAAGAAGATGTGAAGTTCTACTTGGCCGAGCTCGCTCTTGCTCTTGACCACCTGCATGGCTTAGGAATCATCTACAGAGATCTCAAGCCAGAGAAGTGAGCTGTCTTTCTTTATCCTTTTATCACCGTAGTACAGGGGCCATCTCGCAACAATGTCGAGCTCGAAGTCGTGGGTTCATTACCCTTCTAACCTCTGTGGAAGCAAATGCAAGAATTTTCATGTTGTATTTACGTGCACGCAAAAGTACGCTTGTGGTGTGGAACTTATTCTGGAATTCCTTGATATGGCTTACCTTTTACTCTTTAGTCAAAATAGCTGTGTTCAAAAACCCTCCAAACTTATCTATACGTTTTAATTGGGGTGCATTGAAAACACATTGCGATACAGTAATGAAGGAAAAAAAAAAACGTAATTTAAATACTTCAAGGGGACAGCCATATTCAGCATTGGAACGTGTGTAGTGAGTATTGCTGAGATGAATGAAACAAGAATGATGCGAATTGGTGCGCGAAAAGTGCACTTACGAGTCCTCAGTCTAAAACTCGAGCCGATGCCTATGACAAATGTTCCCTTTTGCCTCTCACTCGCCTGCTGACATCAAAGATCGCTTCCAATCACAGCACGCATCTCATAAAGACGCACCAGGAACGCCAACTCACGCTGGCCTTCACACAGTACCTCGCTACCACTCTTTTTGATAGTGTCGTTAGCATGGTTACGACAAACCATGTGTTTCGGGTAGCGGACGCTCCCACGGTCCCACTATAATATAATACCGCTCGACAAGAAACCACTGGAATGACGCCATGTTGCCGCATGAGTGTGACGACATCCATGTGGACGCCGAAGAGTTCACTCAGCGCGCCGAGGAAGCCAGACAGCTCGCGCGTGTGCGCATCTGTCATCAACAGCATCAAGATGCACAACGGTACGACCCCCGACACAAGTTCATAAGCTACACACCAGGCGACAAGGTCTGGGTCTGGATTCCGATACGTCGACGTGGACTGTCGGAAAAACTGCTAAGACGATACTTTGGCCCATACAGCGTCACGCGACGCTTGAACGACGTGAACTATGAAGTTGTTCCTGACACTGACTGTAGTTCTAAGCGTCAAAATCATTTACCCGAAGTCGTACACGTCGTGCGTATGAAACCGTATTTATCCAGTTGACGCGACCACTTCATACGCCTGGTAGAGCGCCTAGGTTGCGCATCGGGACGATGCCTCTTTCGGAGGGAGGCAAATGTCACGTGCTTGTCAAAAAGAAAGACAATGACAGTTGTGCATGTGCCATGAAGTACTATGAAATGGATGAAAAAGAAGAACTCTCTTGCGCGTTCTATTAAAAAGAACCTACCTGCTTCTGGTGTCTCAGTTTCTGCCGCAAGACCTCTGTTTCGACGTCGGGACAATATACTGTTTAGAATACCCTTTAGGTGGGGACACTTCTCGGCTTGTATGCGAGACACGTTCTACAGCAACGCCCGTGTCTGCTGCATGTTGCATTTCTGGCTGGCTAAAAACACGGCATGTGTTTTCACCTTCAGTTTCTTGCGTACCGTGTATGCAGACTATAAAAATGAGCGTCATGTTCATTGTTTTGAATATACATAATTTAGAAACAGGAATTATTTATTTCCGAGAAAACTTAAAAAAAGGCTTTTACAAATTTTAGCTTCTACTCGTATGCCCTAGCTACCACCATATGAATATTACATGCTACTTGTCGCGTGAAGCCAATAAAAAATGAATGACCTTTGTTGTCAAGTAGCATGACCTGACATCACATCTCATTACGAAAATAGCTGATCTGTGTCGCCGTGGTCTTAAATCAAGGTAGTTTGTCCCCAGAATTAAACTTTATAACAGTTTCGAATGAGGCATTGGCACTTGCGCAACGATATCAGTGCATTTCACAGACCAGAAGAATCGACAAAAAAGACATGCTCAAATTGTTTCGCACAGCTCCTTTAAAGGGCACTAAAGCAAATGGCAATTTATGTCAGAGTGAAAGATCAGGGTTTGAAAACGCCTAAAATGACAATATTATCAGCAGCAGTGCTCTGTCAATCAAGAAATTCAGGTAAATGCACAACATCACACGCACCATGAGTGGTATAATTTTGGAATAGTCCCCAATGACGTTGAGTCTCGAGTACAATTCATCGCCAGTTATCAAACGAGTTGCAAAAAAGAAAACAAAGAAAACACCACCCTTCTGTGCATTGCGACACGTAATAGAATGCTGCTTGTTCGTTTCTCTTTGATTCATGGAAACAAAAACTACTTAGCGTTACCATGGAAAATGGTGCGAGTGGTTCAAAAATTGCATTTTCGAGGAACTGCGCTTCGCTCACATGGTCGTGTCTCAGTGGTAGATTCGGCATAGCATACTGTTGCGCGAGCTTTCCACGATCATGAAAATCACTGTGACGGAAAGTTAATCTCAATTTTGCGTGCATGTGATGTTGCTAGACGCCAGAATGGCATATGCCATTTGAGCTGCAGCAAATAAACAGACATGACTTTCCACTGGTGCCGCAAGAAGAACCCCTACGCTCGAACTGGCCGAGTGCCATGCCTCTGCACCAGTACTGCAAGTCAATGTCTCATCAGGTTCACCGTCAACATCCATAGCCGCAAGCTTTTATGGCTGTTGTTGCAGCTGTGGCTCCTGCTACTTTCACTGTGCTGCGAGTAGACATGTCGCACATTGAAGGCGTGCGTTGTTCGGAAAGGCAACTGCTACGTCAGAAGGCTCGTTCAGGCGGATGATTTAAGTGCGCTAGCGCAATGTGGACAACTAAAATGTGATACCCTCGGCATGATGGTAGCACTAGGACGTTTGTGGAATGCCGTTTCAGCAATAAACGTGGACTTAATATCTGGCTCTAGTGACCTTTTAAGCCAAGTTATGTCTTCATAATTGCAAAGATTATTAATTGCTAATGTTGGTTCAATATATTAACCGTAGACAAAGCACTACCTTGAGCAATGAAGTTTTCTTTCTACACTGATGCTTTGGTTAGTGACGTCATGACAGAAGGAACACTGCTTCTTATGGAGCCTTAGAAATTCATCGCAGATAGACTAGAAAAAAAATCGCATAAAAGCTTGTGCTATTGACAGTTGGAGGCTCGGTAGTTTGCCCGACGTCTTGATTGAGAGCTGTCAAGTGAAAAAATGAAAATGAGCAAAGTCTTTTTTTTTTATAGATCTTTGTGAAAGTGCTAATTTATAACACTGATGAGCTTTAGCAAGTCTGTTAAGCTTTGCTGCCTACATTGTGTGCAATTTGGTTTGTGTTGCAGCATTCTTTTGGACTCTGATGGCCACATAAGCCTGACAGACTTCGGTCTGAGCAAAGAAGCGCTCAACGACCAGAAGGCATACTCATTCTGCGGCACCATCGAATACATGGCACCCGAGGTCATCAACCGTAAGGGTCACACAATGGCTGCTGACTGGTGGTCTTTTGGAGTACTCATGGTAGGTTTTGAATGTTCTGTACTCCTATTTTATCACCAACAGTTATGATAGTTGTAATTGGCAATAGTTGTTTATAACAATTATGTGATGTGTGAGATTATGGCTTACCTGAAATTATATGCTACAATGTTAGTGAGAGTGCTGCTGCGGTACTACTTTGTACTACTTCTACGGTGCTTGCTTGTTTTGCATTGTATTGTGCCACTGTTTGCTTCAGATCTCGCAGTGAATATGCTAGCACTTACAGAAGTGTAATACTGTTTTCCTTCATTTTTTTACTTCTGGGCTACAGCTTTGTTCAAGCAAGGCGAGCATTGGGTTTCGATTTTTGTTTTTTGTTTAAAAACTTTCCCTGTCAACAGCTTTATTTGCAAAATAAGTCTTGGGGACTACGTTAAAAATTCTGCTTCCAGAAGCTCTTAGAGCATGGCTTTCTCTTTATTGCAGGTACTTTTATTCAGTTTTGTTCATTGGCTGTCTCATCATAATGTCGTTTTTTGTTTCGCTGGTGTTTTAGGTTCAGAACTGAAGTATTGAATAAGCTTCTACTTTTGCTTTGGGCTTCCCTTTTCTGTCGCAATCACTGAACATTGTCGCTGGCTGCAACAGCTCCATAGGCATTAGCAAAATAGGTCGCTTCTGTAGCCCAGCGACTAAGTTGGTGCATTGCTAAGCTAAATGGCATAGGTTTGATTCCCATCCATAGTGACCACATTTTGATGGGGCCAAGATGTAAAAATACTCATTCCCTTAGTCGAAAGGTTAACATTCATCCAGAATATCTCGCTATAGTATTGCCTCGTAATCATGTCGAGGTATCAGCATGTAAAACTAGAGAATGTAATCAATGAAATATACTAATAGCTTATTTCACTTGCCATTGGTTGCCACTTTCTTTCCAGTTTGAAATGCTGACAGGTGGCCTGCCTTTCCAAGGTACCAATAGAAAGGAGACAATGATACAGATACTCAAGTGAGTTCTACTGTCACGGTAGCTTCATGGAGTGTGTGTTTGACACGCATTGTTTTGCTCTGCCCAGGGCCAAGTTGAGCATGCCACAGTTCCTCAGTCCCGAAGCACAAAGCCTTCTTCGAGCGCTGTTCAAGAGAAACCCGGCGAATAGATTAGGTGAGTTTTTCTCCATCCTTACTTTAATGCGGCGTGTCCTCTATTTGTCACCTGTTGTGGTACCAGTTCTTGACCAGGTATAACAGAGTATAGGCTTTTGAGTTGCAGGTGTAATAGTGTGTGGTCCTGTTATTTGTGCCACATGTTTGTGCCGAAAATGGAAGTCTTTTGCAAATGGAGACGACAGAAGAGAATGAGATCTACCAGCCATACTGTCATTCTTATAAGCATTATCAATGACATAATTTTAAAATTTTTGATATATTAATCTATTTGTCAACTTCTAATGTTGGCCATTGAATTTTAAACCAACAAGACTATATTCCTTGTCAAATCAAGACGTTGAACTGTTCAGAGTATATGACACCATTGCACTTGTTACAAGGTGCAGTCATTATAAAAGGCATTTGTGTAAACAGATGTGATCATGTGTATTCGAGAACATAGATGTAAGACCCTATGTAACTACACTCAAACCTTGATATAACAAATCCGGATATAACTAAATGTCTTTTATATTACAAAGCAAATAAAGATAGTCTTGCAATAGATGTAGTGTTGGGAATAAAGCTTTATAATGAATTTTCAGATATAAAGAACTCATTTCCATATAAGATGCAACATTTTTATAATGAAGTTTTGAGTTTATTTTTCTTTGATGGAATGTTCGTGGTCCTGTAGACCTCCATGGTATTTGTCTCCTTTTTTTGTTGTATCTTTTTCCACCAGGCTCCGGTCCAAATGCAATCGGTGACATTAAGGCACACCCGTTTTTTGCCACTATCGACTGGGGGCAGCTTTACAGAAGGGAAGTGGTGCCTCCCTTCATACCAGCTGTCTCAAGGCCGGATAACACACTGTATTTTGACAGAGAATTTACATCGAAGACTCCAGAAGGTTTGTGCACCGGTTTTTCAAAGAACTGCTTCTGTGCCCGCGTCCCTGCTTTGAGCGATTGCTTAACAAAGGCATGTCGCCCGCTTCATATCGGTGTTTGAATGCTGATGAAGAAGGCTCGGCCTGAAACGCCTGCAGATTGTACGTGCAGATTACTCACATTGCCTTTGTATAAAATATATATTTGAACAAAAGCAAGAAAATTGTGTACCCATATGTGTTGAGTTTAAAGCAACGTGTAGGCTAAGATGGAAGCTAAATGATCAGGTGCAGCTTTGCAGCAATGACCTCAGAATTGCCATAAATCTACCTCTTGACTTTTAATGTAAGTTAATATCTAATGGATGAGATTTATTAGCCAAACAGCTGTACACAGTGATTAGTTGTATTAAGTGTATAAAAATAACTAGCTGTGTGTGTCCTGCCTGGCAGAAAAATTCACCACATGGCCAGATGTATGTCCATGCTGATAGCAGTGTGACTGAATTCACTGCTAAAAATGGATACGTATTCAAAAAATAATAAGAAAGAAGAAAAAGAAAGGTGTTGCTTGTGTTGCTTTTTAAAAAAAAGTTTATTTCCACATACATAGTGCCTCGAGACAAATTCATTCAGACATCTAGGCCTGTTACGCAACTTCGAAACTTGTGGCCAATACTCAAGGTTAAAGTGGTCAGTCTGACTGAATGCACTTCCACTGCCCTATTCAAGTCCTTCTGCATAGACATTGCATTGTTACTTCAAGGGTATAATCTCAAAGATTGCAATGTTATCATTAAATCAGTTCTTTTCCTCACTCTCAGTGCCAATATTGGAATGAGCTATTTGTTTCATCTTTCCTACTCTTTCTTATGCCCATTTTCTCACCTCGCCTGTTTTCTTTTCTTCTATTCTTCTATTGCAACAAACCTCGTATTGCGCAACAGAGTTTACAGGTAACATTTCATTTCTTGCCCATACTATGCTCTTTTCTTGCTTTTCGCTTGTTCAAGTCGCCTGTCTGAACTTTATTTTCAATATCTTCTTTCTTTTGCCATGACTGGTGTTCTCCTCAGACTCTCCTGGAGTGCCACCAAGTGCCAACGCCCACGAGTTGTTTCGAGGATTCAGTTTTGTGGCGCCTAGTCTGACTGAGGATGATTATGTCAAAAGCAAGGACAATCAGTCCTCCAAATGGGTGAGTAGGGCAGTACTTAAAACATGACACCGAGGTACTGAGAAACGGGAAAATTTACCGGCGTGTTTTTTTTTAGAAGGCAGGGTTTGCCTAATCCCTTTTTAGGTAGTTGCTGGAGGCATGAAGACAATAGCATGAATGTTGTTATCTATTCTGTCTCTGTCGTTTTACTCCACAATGTGCTATTTTTACTAATTTGAAGGTTGATAAGTGTGTAGTGAAGAGGAATGCCCACTACTGCAGCGACATCGACACGGCGCGAGGCACGAGCTAAGACTGCCTGGTTGCTGCTGCGACGCTGCTCGTATACTCGGCCTGCTCTTGCTGCTTCGGTACCGACGCTGCTACCGCTGTTTACCTTGCATTTACATTATATTTTGGTGGAGAGTGCTGCGGTCTTCCCCAGTCTTGGAACTGCGTAGCCGAAAGCTGCCGTCCGTCATGCCTGATGACGCTGTCTTCACACCCCCACTGGCTTCGCCACGCAGGGGCTGTCCCGGTGCCCAGCTCTTGCGAGAACCAGACATCTTCAACGGCACCGATGAGAAAGACGTTGAGGATTGGCTGGAATCTTATGAACGAGCCAGTGCTACTAACAAATGAGACGATCCCGCGAAGTTTGGTACCGGGATGTTTTATTTAACGGATGTTGCCAAGCTATGGTACAGAAACCATGAGGCGGATATCCCCACTTGGACGACCTTCAAAGCCGGCATCACAGATGTTTTTGGACGCCCTGGTGTGTGGAAACTTCGCGCAGAACAACGTCTACGAAGCCGGTCCCAACAAACTGGTGAAACATTCACTAGCTACATCGAGGACGTCCTCGACCTCTGCCGCCGTGTCGACCCGACGATGGGGGAAACTGACAAGGTACGACACATCATGAAAGGCATTTTTGACGACGCCTTTCAAATGCTGCTCTCGAAGAACCCCGTCACTGTCACTGAGCTCATCGAGTTGTGTCAGAGTTTGGACGAGCTCTGACGACAGCGTCTCCTCACGCGACGCCCTAACGTCGCGGATGACACACTCTCAAGCCTAACCACCACCTCTGACCTTGAGTTCCTGCTATCTCAGATCAAGGAGTTTGTTCGTGCTGAAGTCGCTCGTCAGCTATCGCTGCTATCGACAGTCGGCCAACCACAGTCGCCTCTTCCAGCAAACCTTCGCCAGGCCATCCAGGAGCAAGTTTGCGCGGCTCTGCCATCTGCCCGTGACGCTTCATCGTTGCCGACCCCCGTTGCCTGTGCCGAGGTAACTGCACCTCTAAGCTATGCTGAAGTGGCCGCTCGACCACCTCTTCAGACTTTTACGTCACTGCCATCAGCCATGCCACCGCGACCTACTACTCGGTTCGCTCAGCCAAGGTCTCTCCAGAGTAGTGGACAATGGAGTACAGTCGACAATCGGCCAATATGCTTTGCCTGTGGCCTACCTGGCCACATAGCTCGATACTGCCGTCGACGCGTCCCTATCTACCACCACCAGAGCTACCACCAGAGCTTCGAACCTGCCCCTTATGTGTCACCGCGCCCTTCGTTCACAAGATCTCAGCCTCCTGACCAGATGTCATCGTACGCCGACCACCTCCCTCCAGTTAACTGTCGCTCGCCATCACCTCGACGCCGCTCGCCATCCCCGATGCGCCGTCGTCCTTCATCGCCGGAGCAGGAAAACTGATTGCTGCAGTTACAGAGGCAGGAACTGCGTCGCCCGCGAAAAGACCAAGGCCTTTCTCTCCCCCAACGAATGTTCTCGATGTATATGTGGACGGCGTCGCTGCACTCGCTCTTGTCGACTCTGGTGCCGCAGTTTCAGTGATCAGTGCCAGACTCTGCCGCTTGCTCAAAAAAGTTATGACGCCAATAGCAAGTATGTCACTTCGTACAGCCAGTGCAGAGCACGTCACGCCAGCCGCTGCCTGTACTGCTCGAATCGCGATTGATGGCCTCATCTATGTCGTCGAATTACTAGTTTTAGATTCTTGCTCCCACGATCTCATTTTGGGTTGGGACTTTCTCTCCGCTAATAAGGCCGTCATCGACTGCTCTCGCGCTGAGGTAGAATTTGAAGTGTTTGGCGACGCTCTGTTAAATGATGCACTTGAAACCGGGGGCAAACTATTTGTTGCAGAAGACGTCATCATACCGCGGCACTCTTTCGCCCTTACCATGGTATCTTGCAACTCGCTCGCCGAGTCGAGTGCCCTTTTCATGCCGTCTGCCCTTTTCGTTCACCGCAAGTGTTCGCCGCTACCTTATGCCCTTCTAGAACTTCATGACGGCGTCGGCAGACTGCTCATCTCGAACCTCTTGTCATGTCCTGTAACACTACTTCGGGGTGAGTGCGTCGGGCGGGTTTACAGTCTCGACCCTTCTGCAATTTTCGACATGTCGACTGGTCCTTCCGCCAAACACGAAGTCGCCGGAGTGACTTGTGCCTCTTCGCTGCAGACTACTAGGCCTGACGTACTCAGCAGCTTCATCGCCGACACGTTAACCATTTCGCAACCTGCTCAGCTGCTATGACTGCTGGAGAAGTTCCGTTCTTCCTTTGACTGCCAGCATACTCCCCTCGGCCGCACATCCGCTGTGTGTCACCGCATCAATACGGGTACCAATGCGCCATTGCGTCAAAGACCTTATTGCGTGTCCGCAGCCAAGCGCCAGGTTATCGATGACCAAGTAGCTGACATGCTCAAGCGTGGCGTCATCCAGCCTTCGAATAGCCCCTGGGCATCTCCTGTAGATCTCGTTAAGAAGAAGGTCGGGTCAATTCGCTTCTGTGTTGACTACCGTCGTCTTAACAAAATAACTCGAAAAGACGTTTATCCCTTACCGAGAATCGACGATGCCCTTGACTGCCTCCAAGGTGCGGAGTACTTCTCTTCTATTGACCTACAGAGTGGCTACTGGCAAGTCCCTCTGGCCCCTGAAGATCAGCCTAAGACGGCCTTTGTCACACCTGATGGCCTTTGCGAATTCTGTGTCATGCCTTTTGGTCTTTGCAACGCCCCCGCAACATTCGAGCGGATGATGGACAATCTTTTGCGTGGCCTGAAGTGGAAAACATGCTTGTGCTACTTGGATGACGTAGTTATATTTTCACCAGATTTTCCAACGCATCTCCGCAGGCTAGATGAAGTACTGCAGTGCCTAACTGACGCTGGCCTTCAGCTCAACCTGAAGAAATGCCGCTTCGGCGCAAATCAGCTCACCATCCTCGGCCATGTTGTCTCTAAAGACGGTATCCTTCCTGACACCGCCAAGCTTCGGGCAGTTGCAGAGTTTCCTAAACCTGCGTCTCTGAAGGATCTGCGCAGCTTACTTGGCCTCTGCTCCTATTTCTGCCGCTTTATTCGGAATTTTGCGATGATCACCGCCCCCTTGACTGAACTTCTGCGCAGTGACTCGAAAAGTTACGCTTGGTCACCCGCCTGTGACGATGCTTTCGAAAAGTTGCGCCGCTTGTTAACCTCGCTGCCAATCTTGCGTCGCTTTGACCCGACTGCTCAGACTGAGGTACACACCGATGCCAGTGGTGTTGGACTCGGCGCAGTGCTCGCGCAGCGCAAAGCAGGATTCGAGGAGTACGTAGTCGCATACGCAAGCCGTGCCCTCACCAAAGCGGAGAAGAACTATTCTGTGACAGAGAAGGAGTGTCTGGCAATTATATGGGCTCTAGGTAAATTTAGACCATACCTATATGGTCACCCCTTCGACGTAGTCACCGATCACCATGCGCTTTGCTGGTTATCCACATTGAAAGACCCCTCCGGCCGTTTAGCTCGCTGGGCTTTGCGGTTGCAAGAGTTCGACATGCGTGTTGTCTACAGGTCTGGTTGACGTCACACTGATGCCGACGCCCTATCACGTTCACCTGTGTCCTCCGAAAGCTCTGCATCTCTATCTGCCGTGGACGAAATGGTGTCGTTCCCAGAAAACTGTGACATGGCGTCTGAGCAACGTAAGGATGACTGGATCAGCACTCTTCTGCGATTCCTTTCACACCCGTCGACTTCTCCATCTTCTCGAACATTGCGCCGTCAAGCGGCTCACTTTGAGGTCCGCGATGGCCTCCTTTATCGCAGGAACTACAAGTTTGACGGCCGAAAGTGGTTACTCGTCATACCTCGCCATCTTCGTGCTGAAATATGTTCAGCTTTCCACACTGACCCTCAGTGCGCACATGCGGGCGTCTTCAAAACATACGCTCGGCTTTCCTCCCGGTTTTATTGGTGAGGCATGTACACCTTTGTGCGCAAATACATTCAGTCATGCCCTCAGTGCCAATGACGCAAAGCTCTCCATCATCACGCCTCTGGTCCAATCCAGCCAATTCCTTGCCCAGCCAGGCCTTTCGACCGCATTGGAATTGATCTGTATGGGCCTCTACCATTCACGGCTTCCGGAAACCGTTGGATCGTTGTCGCTGTCGACTACTTGACGCGATACGCAGAAACAGCCGCTTTGCCTGCTGCTACAGCACGTGACGTCTCATCTTTTCTCCTGCGGAACTTCATTCTGCGTCACGGCGCACCACGTGAACTTCTCAGCGACAGAGGACGTGTATTCCTCTCTGAAGTCGTCAACGCACTCCTTACCGAATGCCGTATCATTCACCGGTCTACCACCGCCTACCATCCGCAGACGAATGAATTGACGGAAAGATTCAACCGTACCCTAGGGGATATGATATCAAAGTATGTTGCCTCAGACCACTCCGACTGGGACCTCATTCTGCCTTTTATGACGTATGCCTACAATACTGCTCCACAGGCGACTACGGGCTTTTCACCATTTTTCCTGTTATATGGCTGAGACCGTTCCACCACACTAGATACCATTCTGCCCTACCACCCCGATTCCTCCGAGTCTACGCCCATCTCCGAAGCTGCCCACCGCGCCGAGGAATGCCGTAAGCTCGCCCAGTCGTTCACAACAATTGACCAATAGAGACAAAAATCTTGGCGTGACGATAACCACCCGTACCCTAACTTTGTTCCGGACACTCTTGTTTGGCTTTGGGTTCCCGCTGTGCCTACAGGCCTTTCCTCGAAGTTTTTTTCAAAATACCAGGGACCCTACCGCATTGTCTCGCAGACTTCACCAGTTATACATCGTCGAACCCGTTACGCCATACACAGACCAGGGCTTTCGGGGACGTGAAATTGTTGACGTACAGCGGCTGAAACCTTATTACGACCCGCTTGTACTCTGTTCACCGTGAGTCGCCAGGATGGCTCCTTTTTCGACGGGGGACGAAGTGTAGTGAAGTGACATCTAGTGCAGTGACATCGACACGTTGCCCACTACTGCAGTGACATCGACATGTTGGCGCGAGGCACGAGCTAAGATTGCCTGGTTGCTGCTGCGACGCTGCCCGTATACTCTGCCTGCTCTTGCTGCTTCGGTACTGACGCCGCTACCACTGTTTACCTTGCATTTACATTATAATTGCTCTATATGTTATTTATGCAAACCATCACAAAGCAGAGGTAGTACTTTTGATTGTATCATGAGCCAAGGTATCAATTTGCTGTATCTACCTCTGCGCATTCTTCTGTCTGATCAAGTAAAATAACAGCATTTGTGAACTCTGAGGTGCATATTCAGTTTTTACATCACGTGCCCATGCTGTGTGATCTTATTGATACAGTAAAACCTCGTTCATTGATAGTCACTGGGACTGTGAGAAATTTTTGAAATTAACAGAACATACAAAAAGTGGGGTGCAAAAACTTTAAATTACTCTAAGTGTAATCAGGGCTCGCCATTCGCGGTGCTGGCTGTCTTGCGGCTCTAAAGGCTATGTTTTTCAGCAATACAAAGTCGCAGTTTTTCCGCGAAAAACAGGGGGAATGCCGAGCCTCGCCACTGAATTCGCAAACAAAAACAAACAAAAATGTGTTATTGTGATCAACTGAAATGTTTGCCTGCAAAAAATAAGACATCTTCACTGCAACACAGTAGTGACACGCGGGCAGCATGTCGCCTACTCCTCGCTGCAACCGTTCGCCCATTCTTTCTAGTAAAATAAAAAAAATTAATAATGCACAGTGAAACGAAATTCCCGACGTTGCGGCTGGAAAACATGGTCATTAAAGCTTACGAACAGAGTTTTCAAAGTAGGCGTGGCAGGCAAAAACTCTGCCAGCAGTGCAAGTTCGCAAATTGCTGGGGTAACCAGCATTTCGAGGTTCGCCTACATCGCAAATACCGCCACTGTTATTTATTACTTTCTTAATATTCCCAGAAAGAATGGGTAAATCATGACTGGCTGATGTTGCGAGAAGCATGCGGCACGCTGCCCGCGCGTCACTGCTGTGTTGCAGTGAAGCATGTTTTGTTCTCCCACAGGCGCACGTTTTGGTTGATCACAAGACTTTTTTTTTTTACAATTTAATTCTAGAAGCATCGAGGCTGAAGTACTTCAGCTGCCACTCAGTAGTATCGCTACAGTACATCGCCTAGTGGCATTTAAAGGCTGTCGTTTCCGCGGTTTTGCGGTGCGATCGGGATCTGGAATTGGTACACTGCACCCAAAGTTTTCGAATTAACTGGACTGTTGCTTACCGCCGCTTTAGATTATCCACTCAAACTTGCATTGCAAAATACAGGACCACTGAAATACTTCAAATTAAGCAGGTTTTTGAAATAGCCGAGCTTGAATTAACGAGTTCTTACTGTATGTGTGCAAAACTTGGTGGATGCCAATATTTCACAGAGCTGTGCGCTTACGAGACATGCATACAGTATGGAGGAAGTATACATGGTAAAGGCATCGTTAATGCTAATCATGAAATATAATGTCCAACTTGGGAATATGTCCCAGGTTTTCATATGTATAAAAATGCTGCAAGTTTTTCTCCTCGGGTTTTTGTTTGTAATGTACGGGCACTTAGCATGGAGTCATATATGATTTCCATTACTGTTAAAACACTGTTTTGCTGTGTATTTCCTTGTTTAGATCTAGCTGCTGTGTGTGCCTTTTAGTCAGCTGCTTGTTTCACTGCTACTCATCTGAGTGTTTTGTTAGTGGATTCTGAATATAGTGTTGTAACTGCATGTATAAAACGCCTCTAGAGTCTTACTCAAATCACTTCTCTTTACGGTATAACTCTCTATAAACGAAAGTGTCTTAAATGAAATTGCTGCTTAAGGGGGCAGACTGCTCTTAGACATTTTTTGTTTATTTCTTCAGTGATCTTGATCAAACTGCACAGATTTATGCAGTTTTTTCTGCTGATTTCAAATGTTTAATTAGTTTTTCTGTAACTCATCGTATTCCTGAGATAACTTAAGTTCATCCCATATTGTTTAAGGCAGCCATAGAAAAAAAAGTGCTTAATTAAAAGTGATATTTAAAATATCCTGACATAGACTAATGACTATAGATTGAAATCATGCAAGAGTTTTTTGTTTTTAAGCCTTTCTTAATATTTTACAGCAAAATGAACTATCCATTTTCAAAAGCAGTTGGAATTGTGTTAAAATTTTGATGAGTAATTAATTAAAAAGACTTGTTCTCTAAATTATGCTTCCATACTTGCACCATACACACATACAGGTTTCCATTGCAAAAAGAATTATTGTTGTACCTGCCCTAGCTGCAGAGATATTGAGGCCTCAAAATTGAACAGTTGTAAATTTACTTTTTTGAGAAAAATGGAAAAAACTGAAAACGCATAGCTTCTTCAAAAAGCAACAATCATGGTGTGCATGTTTTGCAATCCTCATAAAAGTGCTCATAAATTCGTAGCAGAGCTTTCAACACAGGTGCCGGCAAATTATAAAGAGGCCTCGAAGTTGGTTCCCCATTTTTTAGCAGGTTCTGCATGCTAACAGCACCAAGAATCTGGACAGTTAGAATGACACTACAAAAAAATTACCACTTCCTGGTGTGTAAAAATTTGCAGAGAGATAGCAAAATACTTGCAGATACCAAATATGTCAATTTTAAAAAATGATTTTTTTGTCACTTTTTGGTCCCAAAGAGCAGCCCTTAAATGGAACAACTGGCTCTGATATGATTAGTTTTCTGCTTAAATTCTGCACCCCTGTTTATCTCTTGGTAAACGAATCTCCTGTTAAAACATTTTCCTGATCCCTTCAGGCTTCACTTAAATCTACATTCATTAAAAACTAGATTCAGTCTACTGTACACTTATTCCATTTTGTTCTCTTGAAAATTGCAGTACGGCCTTTCCTTCAAGGAAGCTATCACAAAGGAATACGAGCTGAAGGAGGACCTTGGCTTAGGGTCCTATTCGACTTGCAAGAGGGCTGTGCATAGGGCAACTGGCAAGGAATATGCCGTCAAGGTATGCTGCCTTTTGCACATTCTTCCTGTAGGGTTGGGAACAGTTTTATGACTGCTGTACGAGCATAAAAATAGACACAGAAAATTTAAGGCTTGTTAATTAAGTGCATTGACTTGCCTTATATAACCCCAGCAATCCTAACCCTTGGAGGGCTTGCAGCATGTAGTGTTTATCCCAGGAGAACCTTGGGTATTGTTTTACATTTCTATTTTCTTTGTGCAGCATTCTTAGTTAGTCTATTAACACATACAGCATTCCAAAGCTACTTTAGCTTCTTCAAATACCACTAGACTATGGTCTCAAATAGGCAGTGTACAGACATCTCACTAGTGGCCCGACCCGCACATGATTGTGATCTACTCAAGTATTTAAAAAAAAATTTCTTGATAAGTTAATAAGTATGTTCATAAGGTGCACTGATGTGACTGGTCTGAAGGATTTTTTTACATCAAGCGCTCCTTTGGTCACTGTGTGTGCAGGACAAAAACTAGATTTCAGAATAGATGTATGAATTTCAGCCATTTTGAAGATCAGAATGCATGTTTCTCAAAACCTTATGCCAAGCACTTCAGAAATGACTCGTATATGAGATTTGGGAAAGGCCCTCTTTAAGTGGCAACCTTAGTTCAACTCCCCCCATCTGACTTGTGTCACTCGCCTGACCCTTCTCAAAGACTTAGTTTCCTGACTGTGACCCACTAGCTGTACCTGACACAATGGTCTAGTAATGATGGTGCTCGAATGCTGACCCTCAGGTCGGGCGATCGAGTCCTAGCCGTGGCGGCTACATTTTAGATGGGAGCAAAAATGTTTGAGTTTTGTGGACGTTAAAGAACCCCAGGTGGTTGAACTTTTAGGAGCCCTCCCCTACGACATCTCCAATTCATGTCATGGTTTTAGGATGTTAAACCCGAACAATCCTTTGCGGTAGCGAGTTTGGGACCCCTGCACCAGACACTTCTCATTAGTGTTCAGTCCTTTCTGTTGTGCTGGATTGAAGCAAACCTTGCTTAGGCTACTTGAGCTTAGAGGGGCCCTGGAACACTTTTTGAGCATGGTCAGAAAACGATGTCGATCGGTAGTAGAGGCTCCCGAGAACAGCCAAATATTATAGCGCAGCATGCGGTCTGAAATTCACAATAAATTATCAGTCAGCGAAACTTGCTTTCTCTTCTCTCGACAAATGAGGGAAGATGCCCAAAAATCACACGTAGCAAATCTATCTATCAGCCATTGGCTGATTTGAACATGGCGCCCTCGGTCGTTGCAGAGATCGCCGTGGGAGGCCGCAACTTGTCCACGTATGTGCGTACAATCACACTGAAAAACTCGCGCATTCAAAGAAAAAAAAAGTGCTCAAGGTCACGAGGCATGTGTGGCGTATTTTCTTTGCCCCTTTCATCCCTCCTTGCTTAGGTTCCAGCACATTGTCGAGAAGAGAGAAGAGAGAATGCGTTGGCAGCGTGCGACAAATATTTGTAACTCCGCTCGTACAGAACGGATTCTTAAAATTTTGGGGGCGTTCGATTCGTGAGGCAATAAGCTTTTCCTGTGAATTCATTTTATGGTTATTTGAAAAAGTGTTTCAGGGTCCCTTTAGCGGATCAATCAGTTGGCGCTGCACCACAAAAGCCTCAGGGCAGTGAGGCATTATTCCCCATGTCAGCTAGATGATTGTCTCTTGGATCTCGAGGCCAACGAAGAAGGGGGCGGCACGGGGATATTGCCAAATGGCACAGTGTGTTCAGAGGAAAGTAAGCAATGGGCACTCAAATACGTACCACACGCTGCCCATACATCATCGTGAATTTCAGTGGTAGCTTTAAGATGATGTGTAGCTACATCGAATGCATGCTAACCACATTGGCTATGACAGTCGTCCCGATACGGTTTCTGCTGGAGTGATTTTCGGTTTCGGCCTGTGTATTAAAACATCAAAACAATGAGCTGTAGGTTTCAGCTGTACTGCCAGACTCGCTTTTATTGCCAAGTGTGACAAAACAATGATTTGTTTTTCAATGGGCCCAACTGTCTTGCAAACGAAGCATTGCTATTCTTCAGATCATTGACAAGTTCAAGAGAGACTGTCAAGAGGAAGTGGAAATACTGCTGCGATATGGCCAGCACCCTAACATACTCACCGTTTACGATGTAAGTCATCATGTATTGCTAGTTTTCACTCTGGAATAGGAGGTGCAAAATGTACTGTTCGTAATCAGTTCATTCATCGTGGAATAATGTACTTAATAGACAAAAATTATTTAAGCGGCCAACAGTTTTTAGTGTAAAGTGTTTTGTTATTTAAGCTAAGATGGTTAAAGTTTAGTGATTATGTATTTATACTGTGCCATTATTATCTAAATTATTCATTAATAAAAACATCATCCAATCACATTTGTGTCGTACTGATGGCAGACATCTTACTGAATCGGTTGCTATTGAATCCTGCAGATGCCAAGAGTGCAACAAAATTAGTTTGGTTTTAGCTTTTCTGCAGCAAAAGCCGTGAAACGTCTGTCCTGACTTTAATGACCGAAAAAACTTACTTTTCTTGCTTCACTCATGTTTTCTAAACACCGATACCTTCCGAAGGAAACAGTTAAAAACCTCTTCGCACTCTATAAACACTGTTTTTTAGCAAGACAAAAAAAAAGGAGGGGGTGGTCAGAACTAAGTGCTCCAAGGCTGAGAAAAGTTCTTTAACAACGTTTCTGTCAGTCACTGATGTGATATAAAAGGCTGTTATGACCAAATAATGATCAAGGACGCATGCAGATATATTAGTTCGTGCATCTATCTAGAGTGGCAGAATCCCAAAATTTTCACAGAAATCGTTCAAACGCCGGTTTTGTGTCAGTACCAAGTTAGGCAGCTGACCCAGACAGACACGAAAATGCGTCGCTCTTCTCGTAGTTTGTACTGGCCGATTCGATTTTCTGCCCTGATGTCGCCTCTGTAGATTTCTTATTGCTCAAAGAATTTGCTTGCTATATATTTTTTCTTTCTATGAAACAGGTTTACCAGGATGCCGCCTCTGTGTACATAATCATGGAGCTTCTCAAGGGTGGGGAGCTCCTGGATAGGATCCTAAACCAGAAGCACTTCAGTGAGAGAGAAGCTAGTGCTGTACTGGAAGTGATTGCAAAGACAATGAAGTTCCTACATGACAATGGGGTCAGCTATTATTTTTTTTTGCTGTCAAACCCATTCGTGCTTGCATTTCTCTAGTGTTTATACTATAGGGATTAATGTGCTTGTTAGTTGTGTGCAGTGGCCATTACATGTTTGCTTTCCTTGTTACGAATTTCGCCATGTTCCCTGCACATATGCAGCAGCCGTGCAGGCTGCTTGCTTGCTGCTTTACCTACTTTACTTGGAGTCAAAGCAACATTCAGAAGAATGTAATTTTTGGCATTCTTGTAAATTTTAAAAGCCGGGAATAACTATTGTAGAATCTCATTCTCCTCTTTCAATATCTTTATTTATTTAGAGAGTTAATGAATTTCCCATACTACAGACAAAAGATGCTCGTTACTGTAGTTCTGTTAGCTTGCTAAAAAGTGCAACTACTAGCTTGCCTTGCAGCAGAGAGGTGAAGTGTAACTTTTAAATTTAGTCTGTTACAGTTTGCTGCTTTGATTTACTATGTGATGATAGGGGAAATGGAGGCTTCTTCTGGTCATTGTACCAAGGACGTGCACATTTATTTCCATTAGAAGTTTCAGCAGCTTGCCAGAAATGTAACTGGTGCATTGCTTACCGACATTGCAGGTGGTTCACCGCGACCTGAAGCCTTCGAACATCATGTATGCAGACGAAAGTGGTAGTCCGGAGAGCCTGCGCATTTGTGACTTCGGCTTTGCAAAGCAGATGCGTGCCGAGAATGGACTACTCATGACTCCTTGCTACACGGCCAACTTCGTGGCGCCTGAAGTGCTCAAGAAGCAGGGCTATGACGAGGCCTGCGACATTTGGAGTATGGGTGTGCTGCTGTACACCATGCTTGCGGGGTTAGTCTGTTGAAAAAATTTAGTTAATCTTCTGCGAAGTGGTATGTAACGCATAAGGTAAAGTAAAATGAATGTTTGTTGACCACTACATGTAGCCCCTTTGAAAGAATGACTTGGCAAACTCTATAGGGTCAATCAATGACCTCGTGAATAAGATAGGATTAAGCATAAGCCATCTACTTTGCCTGTTTAGTTGGCAACTGGCACAAGTGTTTTGACTGTCAAAAATGAGTGATTGAGTTGCTGCTAGCTTGTTTTGGAAATAATAACCCTACTGTGTGTACCTTTGTTTATATTAACAAACTCATGGTAGACAACAGATATCATTTGCAAAAAAAAAAAAATTCTGAAGATGCAAATACACAAGAGTTTGTTCATGTAAATGCTGTGACCGAACTTTACATGATGGGCTTTGGAAAATTACTTTACAAATTGGTATCTTGCGTCTATATTGCATCTTTCTGCGACACCCTCCTCAGATAACCGAAACCAGTTATGAGAACTGCATTGTTGCGTACCATAGGTGCTGGAAAATATGTCTTGGCCACCACATTTTCTTATACCTGTATCTTGTATATGCTCAGATTTATACGACGCCAATCAGGTGGTCGAGCACTATGAATTGAATGCTTTTTGCTGATTGCCTGGCAGTTCCGGTGCATCGTAGTCGCACAAATACCTTAAGCTACTCTGCTTGCTTGAACGATGTTCTTGTTGAGTGACATGGAACTTTACACGAACAAAGCACTCATAATTAACCATGCATGCTCCTGCTTAGTGAATTTTGTTACAAAGTGAAATAGGAGTTCCATTTGAAAAGTTTGTAATGTATAAAGTTCCCTATGGCAGTGTGCTCTGCACCAAAGCTTGCTTTGTTACATTATGGTAGTTTTCTATTGTCACCAACCTTTTTTACATTGTAGGTCCATTGCTTATCTTTATATGCTCTGCATCCCAATAGGCACACGCCCTTTGCGAATGGACCGAACGACACACCAAACCACATATTGGCCCGGATTGGAGAAGGGAGGTTTGACCTAATGTCTGGAAACTGGGCCAATATCTCAAGTCCTGCAAAGGTTCGTTTTGTCAACTTGTTTCTATATTCAAAGCAGGCCAGACAGGTCTCCATAGCAAGAGTGTTTACCGAGATTTTACATCATGCTTACAGCATCTAGTCCAAAAAATGCTGCATGTGGACCCAAAGCAAAGATACAGGGCAGCTGATGTCTTGGGACATGCCTGGATTGTGAACAAGAATAATCTTCCAGTCAGCAGGCTTTCCCATCAGGAGCCTCATCTGGTGAAGGTTTGTCTCTCTCTCTTGATCTTAAATTGTTTGGATGGGGATGTTCACTGGAAGGCAAGAAGCCGCCTTGAAGCCGAGAGCGAGTATTGGACAGTGTTTTTCGAGTTTGTCACTGCACGCGCTTTCCTTGAGAGTTGCATATCTTGAGGCAAGATAGATAAGGATAGAGGAGGTTTCTGTTGGATTTGGTTTGGCTCCATTAAGTTGGTTTAGGTTAGTGTTGTTCTACTTTTACTGCACTTCTTTTAGTTCTTTTTTTAGATGTGGAGCAGCTCATTGACTAGCCTGTGTAACGCTGTCCATCTGTGTCTCCATGCCGAAGCGCCGCACCACGTTCCTCCCGCCGCAGTTCTTGGAACAGTGCCGAGTAGGTCAAGCAACAGCTGTGCGTTGGGGTCACTCTCTCCCTCACCCACAGCAGCTGCCGGCTCCTCCCAACACACCTAGATGGTGTCGCTCCACCGCTCGCTCACAACACACTCCTCTCTCACTTCACCCTCTCTGCCACCTGCAACGCTCGACCGGGCGTCGAGTGGAAACACTCTTTTGGATTGTTTACCTGCGATGAAAGATTTACACAAAACCCAGCTCGCCTCCCGTGTCTTTGTGTTTAAAAGGGACGTTGATTGATATGTAGGGTTTAATGTCCCAAAACCACCATATGATTATGAGAGATGCCGTAGTGGAGGGCTCCGGAAATTTTGACCACCTGGGGTTCTTTAACGAGCACCCAAATCTGAGCACACGGGCCTACAACATTTCCGCCTTCATCGAAAACGGAGCAGTCGCATCCGGGATTCGATCCCGCGACGTGAGGGTCAGCAGCTGAATACCTTAGCCACTAGACCACCGCGGCGGGGCTTAAAATAAACGTTTACTCGAGTAAATGCCACCCCGAGCTTCGCTTAAACTGTTCTTCAACACGCGTGTCGACGCCGATTTCAGTCGAGTCAATGGCATGCGTACTGCTGCTGCTTTGCATCCCATCATGGTTCTCTTCAGGGACATGGTCCATGATTTCTTTCTGGTAGTTTCAGTTTAATGTTTGGTAGTTAAAGGCATTGCAGAGTATGTGTTCTTTTTCCCGGCATTTATTTATCGTAACGTGCTGTCGTAGTGTAAAGCACACACATTTTTGAAATTGAACCCTTTGCCTGTGAAGTAAAAAGAAAAAAATTGTACCAAATTTACCTTAAATGTTCTTTGTGCTCAATTTGTAAAGCTATTTCTTCCTCTGAACAAACGGTACATTATTTCAGTTCAGTGAGGTTTCTTCATTTAATTAATTACGTTAAAGAAAAAGTGGCTCGAAGATAGCTTCACCGCATCGCAATACGATGACGCTGAGACTCGTGTGACACAACATGGACAGTGTGGCTGTCTAGTGTGGAGAAATACAACTATGATGAATATAATCATCATTTGTTCCACAGGATACGAAGTTTTGTTGAGAATGAGCATAGTCGTTATTGGTCATTTTGATACAAAATCTCATGACGATGCTAGTCAGTAGTAGCGAAAGAGTTAATAAGCTGGGTGTCTTCATTTTTTTTTTTTTTTGCATCCTGGTACTGTTTGCATTGCAGGGTGCCATGGCAGCCACATTCAGAGCTATCAACAACTACCCCAAGCCCCCAAACCTGGAACCCGTTGCGGCTTCAGAACTGGCCAGGAGACGTGCCAACAAGGCACGGCACCATTCGTCCACAGAGGTCTGACAGCCCTCTGCTCTTTCCCGACAAGGGAAGACACACAAGCAAAAGAAGACATCGACTCTGTTGCCTTTAGCACACGTTCAGTGACAGCTTCCTTGGACTCGTCGGTTGAGGGTTTGGCATGCATTCGTTGGCCATCCGAATCCCATTCTTATGTTCACACGTGTGTACTTGCCTTTTTGTTGTTCATTGTCACCGAGTAGTATACTTTCATTATTGTGAACTTTTGTTCGAAAGAGACAGGCCTCTGCAATGAATTGCATGGGACAGTGCAGGGTTATGAAATGCTGTACCCTTGAAACAAGCTGGCAAAAAAAGGAAAAAAATAGCTGCCTGGGCTTCAAAGAGCTCGAAAAGTGCCTCTGTGCGCAGGTTAGCATGAGTGGACGCGAACTGCTGTGTTAAGTGTCCTGTTTTTGACCCGCGGAACTGGTTGGTGGCTAGAGTCTCTTGCTTAGTTCCACTTGACACCCTATAGCGTATATAATAAAAGATAACATATGTATATGTGTATATCTATGTCCTACATGTTAATCATGTGTTTTTTTTTGTCACTGAAGTACCTAAGGTTATGTGCCATCAGATTTTTTATAGGCAAAGATTGATTTTTGCTAATAATTTTAAGTTTTACTCCTTCAGGAACCTTGCTTTGTTCTCATGCCCCCCACCCCCTTTTTTGTATGGTTTCTAAACAGGAGCTCGGCACGTTTCTTCAGAACCATGCTTCACAGTAGTAGGTTATATTGCAGATCTCGCGTACTTGAGCGATAAGCAATGTCCAGAAAGACTGGCAGTTGTCTTGGGTGGCAAGAAGAATGCAACAGGCATAGCATCTCTGCTTGCATCAGTGTGGGCCGCTGTTCTTCGGATGACTGTTGTTAGAAATTGCTCTATCCGCTTGGTATCCATGTGCAGCACCATTTGTGTTCTACAGTGCGCTCTAAAAAGAAGAAAGCATGGTGAAAGTTTTGTTTGTGTGTGTATGTGTACAGATGTTTTTCAAACCACTCAGTTGTGTTTACCTGCTGTGTATTTCTCTGTGTTCTGTAGTAGTCTTAGCTCACTGTGAAGTGGTGTTGCCAGGTGTTCAGCAAATGCAGTTTTTCATCTATGAACTTCCTCTTCCTACTTTGTTTGCTGAGCCTGCCACTCCTTTCACGTGTGCTTGAGCCGTGAATGTTGTGCAAAGAGTGAACAGCTTGGCACTAAGTGCACGTCGTGTATGTTTGTTGAATGGAAAAAAGGCTGAACTAACAGCAATGACAGAACTAGTGCAGGGACCCTCAACAACGTTTCATTTTTATTCCCTTTGGGCATATCTATTTGACAAACTAGAGGCAACAGCTCCTGTTAGAACAGAGAGAACACAGTGCACTTCTTTAGTTTAACGGTTTTGAAGGAGCACAGTGAATAGCTTTATTTTTTTTTAGTTCAGCTTTACATGCAGCATTGTACACATGCCATGTTTTGCTTGCTATTCAGCTACATTTGGTGCATATAATGTTATGTTACCTGAATGGTTCCAGTGAAAATTTACTGTGCTGGAAATGCAGAAAGCATGCAGACGTTAGTGTTGTACTTTGTCTTGAAGACCATACGTCCGGCAACAGAAAGGAAATTTTGTAATTAAACATGGCATTGCTCTAAGTGGGTTGTGCACCAAAAGTTGTTCTGCATGGGACAACAGTGATTACAGTGCTTCCATATTAGTGGAGCTAGCCACCCTTTTCGTAGGAGCCAGACGGTACACCTTGTGGTCAGTGCATGCAATGGCACTCGTACTGAGCACAGACGACTTTCAATTGTCCCCCTTCTATGCTGCTCAGTAGTGTGTGGGGTGCTTAAGAAGCAAGTTAGAGCTATCATTCCCATGACGAATAGCCTGCTGTTCCGACAGTTTAGGTGCATCGTGGTTGTAAATAGTCTGTGGACTCAAGTGCTCATGTTCTGTTTTAGCGGCTGCCTCATGTTCCGCTGCCTACATACGTCTACAGGCTTCTGTGCCTGAAGAAATAGCGGAATGTCTGGCTCATAGGAATACGTTAATGCTTTTTCTCGGAACCAGTTAAATCTTGAAGTACTTGTTTGTTTCCTTCTCTCTCTCTTTCTTTATTTAGAATTCTATTTAATCTCGGCATATTCAGAGAAGTAGTCATGTTCTGGTACTCAACTAGTTTGTATTGTTGTTCCTCTCAATTCTTTACCACGCTCTGTAAAATTCCTGAAACAAAATATTGCCCTCCCAAAGAAGGCATAAGGAGTGAAATGGTGACATATTCCCATATTGTATGCTTTCGTTGTTCAGCTGTTGAGGTATAGGCTATAGCTTTGATTGAAATTCAGGTGCCTGTCGAAGCATGCAAAGAAGTGGCAGCTCAGATGTGAAGACGGCAGCCAACTGGGGAAAGTGCCAACAATATGTATTGTTGCCTAAGGAACCTCTGTAAGTCATTGACTGCCCATGATGTAGCAGTCAAGTTAGGTGCAGTAGCATGATTTAGAAATTAGTGCAGCAAAGACAGCATAGCCACTTCGGTGGTCAAGATGGCCCACTGTACACGCATTGCATTATTCCTGCTCCTTCTGAAGTGCTTCACTTGTGCACCATGTTTTGCTAGAAACTCATTATGTGGCACTAAGCACTTGTCGTAGTCTCATTCCAGTGCTAATGGCCGTCCAGGTTGACAAGGCTTGGATGTCAAGACACCACATTTCGACCACTGTCTCCTGTGTGTTGACATTTAATGAACGTCCTAAAAAAAATTCCGTGCTGTGGTTCATGTGTAGCTTTCTTGAATGCTTCCCTGAACTACTTTTAAACTTTTGCAATCCTTTAGACAGTGTGGATGCCATATTGAAAGGCTGTTTAATGATGTACCAGGGAACTCCTTCTGCGAACAAAGCCTCAAACGAGAGCACACATCTTTAACTTATGCCCTGCCTTTCCTTTCACAAATGTTTTTCGAAGATGTGCCCACGCCAGGGTGCAAAAATGCACTTGTGTGAATGACGTGAAGTAGGATTCCTTTGATGGACATGATACTTAACTAGTAACCTATTCTATGCTTCTTTGCTGTCATGTTTTCATAGTTCGTTAGACCTGTATTGATGTGTTTTTTTCCTCTAAAGCATTTGTTTGATGACATTGCTAAACAATAAACACTTTGATACATTGTTGACTCAGTAGTGTTAGACATTTTCTCAACATATTTTTATGCACTGTAGAAAAGATTAATGCATAGGAACTGATTTTTTGCTGCAAAAGTTACATTTTGGATGTTCTGAATGACAAGCATGTTTGTACTTGTCTTTAGCAAAGGTGTAAAACCATGCAGTAACCTTTTGTTCTGCCATGTCATTTAAAAAGACAGAGCACTGTCTGCTGAATAGTGCTCTAAAACATGCAAACATTCATGCAGCTTCTTGCTATTTATTATAAATTATACCATTTAATTGCAGTAAGGTTTTAAAAAACACCAAATCATGGAGCACATTTTAATGCTTTGTAAATGAAATAGACAGTGCCAATACTGGTCATCCACTTTTTTTTTTGCTTTGTGAAACAATGCACAATGAGATTTTGATGCTTTATTTGAAATGCATAAAAAAATGGGATGCACTGTGAAATCAAACTATTGGGAACTCATCAGAGCCATCACATACACACCCGCCATAAGTAAATACTAGCTTGAATAGGTGTTCAAATAAAACGTGATGCAGAGGCTCATACTAATTTGCACTTCCCTGGCCGCCCAATTAGCGTACCATTGGAAAGTATACGGTTGGCATTTTGTAGATATTTTTTAATCTTAGAGGATTATTTCTAGCGAAGTATGATAGCATGCTTTAGCAGCATTTATGGAAGACTAACATGCAAATGATGCAGAATGCATATGAAAGCATGAAGTGAACATGAACACTTGGTTAATAAAACAAGGGTTTATTTGTCCGAACGTTGAATGCATGAACGCAGTATATCAAGTGCTTTTTCTTCTTTCTGCTTATTTGGTGATGCCAACAACACCACAGGCCAGTCGTGCACCTGCATTCCCGGTGGTCTTGCTCAGCTCGTGGCCCCCCTTTCCAAGATCATCTGGGTCGGCATGTACCTGTTGAAGGGTTTGTGATGGGCTACGAATTTACTGCAGTAAAGCAAGCACTCTTTCTCCTGCTGCTAGAACAAAAGTCAAATTACACAGCATAGAAATGGTCTTTCAATGAACTTGGTGCCTTGCCTGGGAAATTGTACATTGTATTCAAACAGGAAACGAGCTTTTGAACTCTATCGGAGAGAAACGGGCAAGTCGACTGTAGCGGCAAGTTTCGACACTCACCACAAGTGATCGTCCTATGATGTTGTGCGCTCCGCAAAGCGAAATAACGCAGTCCTCGATGTTCACCTTCGCAACGCCATTGTCGCCAGCCTCAACATTACCCAGGTCTCCTACGTGCCTGTTAAGATGTGCCCGGGCAGAGGGAAAATAATGAGCTGACAAACGGCGTGGGCCCTGCGCGTCAACCAAAAGTTGCCGGCGCATCACCTGTTCGCATCAATCGGCGCGCCATGCTCTTTTCCATGAGGGTTAAAGTGTGCTCCTGCACTCACACACCCTGAAAAATAAAAAAAAGCGTCAATACAACGCAGGATGCAAACCACCTGTTAGACGTCGGGAGCAGGACTTCGGCTCCGGGGCAAATCCTCAGCGGGCGCGGCTTTCCAAACACGTATTAGCGCCCGCAATGAAATGAGCACAATAAAACTTAAACGAGCGTTGCCCGGTGTTTTTAAAACAGCTTACCGTTAGTGTTATCTCCGAACTCGTGAATGTGAAACCCATGCTTTCCTTTGCTGAGGCCGGTAATTTCGCCAACAACTTTAACCGGCTTCCCCTCGCCCTGCGAAGAACGCAATCGCACGATTAGTACAACACTACACACAAAATACAATACAAAGTGGGCATTTTCGAAGTGGGCTCCAAGGCCGTCTGTAACTTTTGATAGTCGCGGAAGCACTCGAGAAGGAAACCGGCGAGCCACAAGGTTAATGGTGCCGTGTGCAGAGCCCACCCCAGACCGGCCCAGACATCAAAAGAAAACGAGCACGGGACGTTTGGCTAAGATAGCGACATAATTATGGTATCGGTACGTGCTACAAGTGTCGTGTGTACGCAGTTTCTCACAAATACGGCCAACTGCTCATGTTTAAGGAGGGTGCGCGAATCCCGTTACGCCACTTTCGACTCACCTCCTGCGTGAAGTGAAGGGTTCCCTTGGTAGTGTCCGATCCGGACAACACGCACACAGCCTTGATCGGCATACTAAACGCTCGTCTTGATTAACGCCTACGTGAAAGGTGCAACAATTGCAGCAAAACCGGTGGTTTACGCAGTTACCTCAGCGCGTCTTCTAACGAAGTATATCGGCGCACCGGCGTTCACTTCACTCACTCTCTACTCCTCCTAGCGTATATATACTCCACTCCATGACCTACTACACTCCTGACCTGCCCAGAGAGCACCTCTTCCAGCGCCCACGTTCTAGTTCATACCTTCTGCCGCTAGGGCCGTAACCTACGAGCGGCGTGGCGCTAGTCAGCACCTGTTCGCCGACGTCACCTTCAACGTTTGTGGTCATATTTTGGCCAACAAAGCACTCATGCTGCTTGATTAATACGAACAACTAAAAAGAATTCAAAAATAAATATATTAAAAGTCATTCAGAATTTTATTGCAATTAAATGGATGCGACACCACGTAGGCTGTCCATTCTCGTAACTTTGGGCTGTCCTACACCATGTGAGTCTACGGGTTCCCACGTTTGTCAACCAGTGTGCAATAAGTACTTCAGCGCACTGAACAGCTTACTTGACCAGCCATCTAAGGGAATAAATACTGACATATATACCGGCAGTTCACCATATAATGCAGGCATTCTTACTCCCGGTGCCTTCAAAACAACCGCACAGTAGCAGACGAACAGGTTATAGGTAGCGCCACCTACGGCGAGCGATTGAACGAGAGCGGGGACACGCGCTCCCATAGGAACCCCGCTATCTGAACAGGTCAGGAGTGTAGTAGGTCATGCTCCACTCTCCACTTGCAGATTAGTCGATACTGCGGCGACACTCCCACATACGGAAAACCAAAACAAGAAACGTAGAGGGTTTAAACGTAGCCTCTGAGATGCTGTATTATTGCTAGCGCGAGTAGTACTTCTCAAAGGCAAAAGTCGACAACGGCAGCAAATATAATTTTTAGCAAAATAAAACATTTTGAAAAAGGCATTCAAACCGCACAAAACTGCTTTACGGAGCAAAACAACTGCGATTTGGGTTTCATTTTGTCCGCCACGCAGTGACGTTGGTAACTGTTGACCCTTCGTTGCTGATTTTGGTGACTTGGGCAACAAGACACAGCAAATATAAGCAACATTGAGACGCCGCAGGTAGCGCCATCTTTTTCGGGCTTGTGCGTCGTCCATATTGCGTGCTGTGCAAGTAGGTCTGCGAAATTAGTGAGAATTTCATTGCGAAAGACGTCAACTAAGCAGTCTTGACATGCCGAAGAACAAGGGTAAGCATTAGGCTTTCAATTTATTCCCGAAATGTCGTTGAACTGTGCCTCGCGCGGTAGTACGAGGTGCCTGATGACCGGCCCACAATGGTTGTGTGTTTTCCAGGGTTCTGGTGCAATGCGCATAGCGTTATATCTTAGTAGCCAGAAGCCTGCTCCGCGTTTTTGTTTGTCGTTGCGAAAGTTTGCAAGGAGACTTGCAAACGTCGCGTGACATTCGACGTCGAAGTTGAGGTACTGGATTTTAAGTGGTTGCGCAAAATGTCGGCTGTCCGGCTTGACTCGTCAGCTCTTGTCTGAAAGTGTGATTCCTTATTTCATCCATGAAACTTTCGCGGTTTCATTATCGCTGTGCACGGTCCTGTAGCTCTTCAGAGCTCTTATCGAGGTAACGAGATGCCTGTAATTGCGATGTTCGTCCCACAGTAGGACAATGCCTTGACCATGTTGTCGCCACGACCGTAAACGAAGATTCGAATCAAATGTAACTTGCGAGAATGTGGTTTGACATTAAGAACATTCCTTCGCTGTCCTTGCCTTACGCAGTTCTATTAGTTTGTAAAGAATTACGCATTCTGTGACACCGTGTTTCGTGGCACCAATGGCTGCTGCGTCACGTTTGTGCCTTAACGTTCCTTTCTTTTTGCTTGCAGGAAAGGGAGGTAAAAACAGGAGAAGAGGAAAGAACGAAAATGAAACGGAAAAGAGAGAACTCGTCTTCAAGGAGGACGGTCAAGGTAAGACACTGCTACTAAATATATTTACGATCACTTTAAGGCGTTCTGCGAAAGTTTTAAGAACGAGGGGACTAGACATTTTGGTAACGTATGCATCTGATAGGAGTGCATACCTGTAAACTGTATTTAATATAGCAGTAAATTTAGCTCGGTGAAACGTCTAACTTCAGCTAGTGTCGACCTTGTTGCAATAAGCCAGGATTCAGGCCCAAGTGTTCATGTTATCCAACTTCGTAGTTATTTTGAGACACCTGATTCTGTTTGTTGCCTTTATTTGATGGTGGAGCTTTGTCTACAGTTTCTTAGCTGAAATTCTTGCTGCAGAAGTATTATGAATTGTGGCTCATTTGTATGACTACAACTATTTTTACAGTTCAAGTTGCACTTTGTCTTGTAAATGATCTGCGTTCCCGATAGTCCGTTGTGTGTGTGTGTGTGTGTGTTTGTCCACTGTTAATAATTTATATTGCTATGGCCTGGTGGCAGATGTTCTTGCTTGTGCATAACTTGTTTTTCATTGCTTTTTTTTTTTTCAAACAGAATATGCTCAAGTTATCAAAATGCTTGGCAACGGACGGCTAGAGGCCATGTGCTTTGACGGCATGAAGCGACTGTGTCACATCCGAGGAAAACTGAGAAAAAAGGCAAGTTTTTTTTTTAAACTAAGTTGTACTTAACTGTGTGCACGTGATTCGTGACTTGCAGAGCCATTTGTAGGCTTCTTTAAACTGACCATCTAGCCCCTCCTCACTTCTGGGGGATGAAGTCTTATTGGCTGTGCCACCTTGAATGTGCTGGCATAACACACTACCTTTCCAAAGTCAGTATTTGATTTTTGCCTTTGCACAACCCACATTCTCGGCGAATAACGGCCACAAAAGGATAGTCTTCACTGCTCAGGGTAAATGTGTTGGTGGCTGTATACATGCCAACAAGTTTTCGCTCTGTAGAACTTGCAAATGAAGGACTCCCGAGCTCTAGGTTATAAAGTTTCTTCTTTTCTCTCATCTTTGTGAGAGAGAAAATGTGCCATGTGTGTACTGTTTGCTTCACATTTTTTCTTGGTTTATTTTTTGCACTCGAAATGATCACTTCTTGCTGCTTGCAGAAGTGTTGTGTATGTCTTTTTATGTCGCAATATTTGAATGAGAAACTCGGCCATCTGGTTAGGTTTGTTGCACTTATTTTCTAAATTGAAGCATTTGCGAAAATGCTTTTAAAAAGTTGTGTGGAATAGGTGTGCACACTATCTGAGATGCTTTATGCAAAGGTGTTTCAGATATTCACTGAAAGGCTCGTTGAAATTTAAAACTTTTTGTTCTGCATAACTGCACTGCCATTTTTGACCTGGTAGTAGTGCTTACATTGTTTGCACATGTTATCCTCATTAGTCAAGGCAATGAAAGCATTAACACATCTTAAATTTAATGTGTGTGCTAACATATACACAACTTGGGTACTGTTGCAGTCATCCGTGTAAAAGAAGGCTTTAATCCTTTTGGTGGTTAGAACAGTTGCTCATTACATAGGTGCATTGAGAACTGATATCCACTATTGATTGTCGCATGTTAGTTCCAGGGCAGTGCACATATGTGCAACTTTCTTTGGATCTAGTGAGTTTGGCTGTGTGTTTAGTGATAACCCTGCATGTTTTATAGCTTGTGAAAATTGCTGCAGGCAGTGAACTTTGTCACTAAGTGGCAAAAACTGGCTACAATTGTACTCTGGAGAAAAATTGCATTAGAGCTCTTTGTCATTGCTGGTACATTCATCTGCCCTTTTCTTGCTTACTGATGCACAATGTGCACGTTCTAACCTTTTATTAAGGCATGCTAGTCAAGGCAGAGCCACTGTTATACAGATTGTAGTCTCTGACTTACCCTCATGATTTCATACAGAGAAACATAGTATATTTAGGTGTACCTTTGGTTCCTTTATCCATAAATGTTCTACTGCCACATTATGGATACCAAGAATATTACCGTGTTTTAGATACCAAGTTGGTGGAATTTCGCGTAACAAGTTGCGAACTTAAGTTGTGATGCCTTGCACTGGTTGCAGGTTTGGATAAATCAGGGTGACATCATTTTAGTTGGTTTGCGAGACTACCAAGATGCCAAAGCAGATGTCATCCTCAAATACAACCCGGATGAAGCCCGAAACTTGAAGTCCTACGGCGAGCTGCCCGAGCACGGTAGGTCGTAGGTTTAAAGGCAGCCTGCATTTTTTTCATTTTTTTTTTTTTTGCACGTTGTAGTGTGCACATATCCCGAAAAAGTACGGCCACTAGCGTGGGTCCGGTCTTAGCGAGCCGCAGGGCATGCGTTAACCATCGATGTGGGGAGGACACGGTACTGCTCAAGGGCGGAACACTTTATTGCCTGCGGTAACACCAAAACGCAGTGCAGAGCCCGTTGCAACAGGGGCGGCGGGAAAGCAAATGGGCTTATCCACGCCCCGGGCGAGAAGTATTACAGGGTGCCGCGAGCACGTCTCCGTGGGCAAAGGTGATTCACAGGGACAAAAGGGGCCCGCTCACTGGAGCGAGGGCAAGAATGCGCTCGCGTTGGCTTCAGAGAGATACGGGTTGGAGTAGTCTGACCATGCACTAAGACACCGCATCGCTTTTCAGCCTAGCGTTCGCAAGGGGCAACAAAAGGTGAGCGTTCGCCGCGAGCGCAAGGCGCCGTTGGCGAAGTCCGATGAGCCCCAAACGATAGGAGCTGATGGACAGAAAAGAAATGCGTACTCATTGTAAGCTATCCTTGAAAGGTCTGACTTTTTCTGGAGTCGTGCGCGCCAAGCGTTTCGAGAGACTCCGCAGACAGCGCCACAGTGGACATCCGCTACTGGGTCAGAGGGGTTAAAGTCACACCACGCTCCCCCAGCGCCACAGACCGCGGAGGAGGGGACTCGTATCAGGACGCAGAAACAGGCGGCAAAGCCCTCGCAAAGATGGTGGGCTAGCCTTGACTCCTACAAGGCTACGTTATTGTTCTATCTGGAAAGCATGAGAGGACTTTCTTTTCAAATATCAAAGCTAACTCGTCCATTAATTTTGTTCTGTGTGTAATAGGCGCAAGATGTTTATAGGATATCGAGTGCATGCACAAGAATGGTAATTGAACACTGCAAACTTAAAAAAAAAAAGTCTACTCCGTCTTTCTTGGGCATCCTTAGTTTTAATATGCGTAAAAGCTCGGTAATTTTACCATTGTTCATCAAAAAATTAAATGATTCAGACGTGTTTCCTGGCCAGAAAAATGCATTGTTTGGTGGCATTGAATTCTTGTTAATTCACTCATATTCAGCTTCAACTCTGTTAATTAGGACAATCCTCGGAGCACACCAAGCACAAACTACTCGAGGTTTGTGACCCTAATGAGTGAAAAGTGGCGTTTGCCGACTACAAAAATATGGCCTGACAAAGTGGTGCTGTCCGCATTGCTATATGTACACACTTAGTGACTACAGCTCTGTGCACACAGATCTAGCACGTTGCAGCAATGTGCATGCAATCATGGCGGAAGCTGTTGAAGATGAATTTTCAGCTGTTGATCGCATGCTGGCATAAAACTCGCTTGCTACATCACATCAGAATGAGTTAACTGTCATTTGCTAGCAATTTTATCTGTTGAAAAAACTGTCGTTTGTACGTGGTGGTGGTGGTATGGAATAATAGAGGAGTGCAGAGTGTGTTTTGAGCTAATTAAGCACTGGAGTGCGGTGCCATTGTCATCTTGTGAACGATGTTGTAGCGTGACGAAAGTTGCTTGTTTTGATCTGCTTTGTGCAGGATAAGTATAGGACTTAAATGTTCATGAAGCTAATGAAAATGCATTAATGGACTCTGTCACAACTGCACTCTTGTTTATTATTTACTTGACAATTTTAGTGTACGGTTAATCCACCTCTCTCTTTTCCCTGTACTGCCCTCTGCCGCTTTGGTAGGGACTGGGGCAACTGGGATTGTGGAACAAATCCGTCAAGATGAAAAGACGTTTCACAACTTTTTTGCACAAGGGGAAGGGTGCATGCGCTAGAGCATTGTGAAAAGTGCGGATTCCAGTCTTGTAACAGTTATTCCAGTCTCGTAAAATCTGAATCAATGAGCTTTTACTGTATATTGTTACTGATTGAGGGATTGGGTATGTTTTGAGTTACATTTTGTAGTGCAGAGATAAGCTATAACTTATTTGTAATTCAGTGGTGACCTCACTGGAACCTCATGAGCCATCACTCCTAAATGTTTTGCATTAATTGCAATTTTTGTCGCACTCATTTGCTTCCATACGTGCAGGGTTCGGTACTGCTCGTGTGGTTTTGTGCACTGCAAGCATGTTGCGAATATTTAGGTTGGAGCAGGTTTTTCAATCGCTTTCGTTTTTTTTTTCTACAGCGAAAATCAACGACACTGTCAACTTTGGCGAAGAGGAGGAGGACGACAACATTGAGTTCGATGAAGTCAGTGGCGATGAGGATATTGAAGGGGTGAGTGATGCCATTAATTTCTCATTACACAAGCCGCATTGTAGCTGCTGCAGTATCAGTTGGCCGAATTTCGTAATGCCGGTTTGTTTTCTTTCCAGATCTGAAGACCGGTCGAAAGCGTCCGGAACCGATCCCCGCGGTATCACCATTTGCAGAATGTCAAAAGCCACTGGTTTCTGTTGCCTCCCTTTCATGCGAAATTTACCATTTTCTCCTCCCCATGCTTGTGTCGTGTGGAGTCGGCAGAAGTAAAAGGTATTACAGTGCTATTTATTTGCCTCGCTCCCAGGCCCAAGGATTTGCAGACAGCAAGGACTGTGTCTTTGTGAAAACAGTTGCGTAAGCTGTCGCAACTGCAGGTAGAAGGAGCTCCGCTGCTGAAGTTGCTAGCACTCTGTCTGGACTTTGAAGAAGAAAGAAGAAAAAGAGGCATGTCATCAGTAACAGCTGTGCCCTGGTCTAGTTTTACCAGTGCCCGAATGAAATGGGTGAATGTGGACTCTTCCTGTGTTACTGCAGTTTGGCCGGGCAACCCAGTAAAGAACCCTGCCGTGTCAACTAGCTCTGTTGTAGCTGTTGTATCTGGAGTTGTTACCACTCTTTCGGTCTATTGTTTTTACCATGGTGTGTGCAGGGAAGTGGGCAAATCGTTGTATGTTTGTAGACATTAAAAAAAGAGGCTGCTTCACTTGAATGTTTAAAGTGTATATTTTGATGTGCGTGATAATGGCTGCAGGAAGCACGTTTCACATCATATTTTTCCCTGCTTTGTCTTAACCTTTGTGAATAAGGAAATGATGTAACAAAGTACTAATAAAGACATTACTGCCAATTCGAGCATGGATTGTTCTGTGATCAACTTTAGTTGTACGCATTTCGAACAAGTACCAATGGAAGGAATCCCAGTCATGGCAGCTGCATTTTGATAAAGCCTGTATGCTAGAGGCCCGTACGTGCTTAGATTTTGTTGGACGTTGGAGAACATCAGATGATGTAGATTTCCGGAACCCATAACTGCGGCGTCCATGATAACCATATTGCTTTGGGACTTGAAACTCCAACAATTATTATTAAATAAGTAACAATGCATCGCCTTGCTGCACCTAGCTCTTTTGTACCACGCCTATTCAAATCCATCACTGGGGATCGACGCTTTCGATCGTCGATCCTGGCATGTTGAATTTGTTTCTCATGCACCCAGCTCTTTCTAGTGGTTAGTCTGGCCACACAACTTTGCGAATCAATTTGAATTTGCCCGTTTTGGCAGAATAGCGAACAGACCTTTGCGTGAACCATTGTGTGGTGTGTTGTTGGTAAACCCACTAGCTGGCAGAATTCGCAAAAGTGCGTGCCCCTCGTGTTTATGCTACAGTAACATCAAAGTTCTGTAATCAAAATATTTGCAAGTTAGATATGAAGTTTAAGGTATCAGTTTCGCAATCTGACAGGGTTGATCAGTAGTAATTGCCGAAAATTTGTCAGCTGTTCAATGAGAGCTGTTTCTAGGAGTGAGGAAATTACTAAAAAAAATCTGAAGGTCCGCCGCGTGTTTAAAGTATGGAGGTGGCTTTCTCAGCCAGTTCCTTGTGGCTTTTGTGTCGCTTCTATCATATCAGACACAGGGTGTCCTCTAGTGTCACTAGTCCCTCCTATGGTGGGCAGCGTCACGTGCGTCTAAGTGAACTCTTGGGCTGCAAAAAAAAAAAAAAAAAACGGGTTGCTATACTCGGGGACAACTATCTGTGGCAATGAAGGGAAGGCTACGGGGGCGGAGCTACTGCTCCTGTACTCCTCCGCGATGTAGTCCGCCTCGGCTCGCGTTTCGAATGACGGCCGCTTTCATGTAATTCCACTGCACACCTGCTTACACGCCCGAGCTAGACTGCACCTGCGCGCGTTTGTGCAGTCTAGCCCGGCCGTGGAAATGGTTCCAGCTCACCGTAGGGTGGGAGGCATCTCTGTCCAGCTCGGATCCGAAGACCCAAGAGGCCCTCGTGAGACGAGCGAGGACAGCGGCCCGTGTCAATAGGATTGATTGATTGATTTGTGGGATCTTACACCCCAAAACCACGATATGGTTATGAGAGACGCCGTAGTGGAGGTCTCCGGAAATTTCGACCACCTGGGGTTCTTTAACGTGCACCCAAATCTGAACACACGGGCCTACAACATTTCCGCCTCCATCGGAAATGCAGCCGAGTACCTTAGCCACTAGACCACCGCGGCGGGGCCCGTGCCAATGGGATCCCAGACTAAGGAACCCACTCACCGACATTCCTTCCTCGGTCGCAAATAAATGTTTTATTCTTTCTCTATCATGAAAAGATGGAAGATGGTGCTGCTTGTAGTGTTCAATAGACGGACGGACATACAGACAGACGCGCGGGCGGACACATAGACCCACGGCTGGACGGATGCACTGACGGACGCTTCGCCCCACTCATCATCATTCAGTCCGTGGATATGCTGTGATTTTTTCATATAGGATGTGCAAAGATGTAAGGAAATATGCTTGAATGCTTATATCGCAGCGTCAACTTATGCGGAGTGAGGTGGCTCGATGAAAGAGGGGATGCTAGACGAAAAAAAATCAGCATATCCATGGAGGTGGATGATGATGAGTGGGGCGAAGCGTACGTCCGTCCGTTCGTTCTTGCTTCCGTTTGTGCGACCGTCTGTGCGTACATCCGTGCGTCCGTCCATGCATCTGTCTGCGTGTCCGTTCTTCCACCTATTCAACACTCCTAGTACCGCCATCTCGCGTCTTTTCATCATATATTCAGCATATAGAAGTACCGCCATTCAGCGGACATTTCAAGGACTAAACGAGAGGTGGCACTCGCACACTTTCTTACGCCCTGCGCTTCGTGTCTACTTCCCACTTTTCACCGCCTCTGGTTCATGGCTATATATATACTAGTTCATTGCATTCATGGCACTGCGGCCCAACATTCGCTAACCTTGCTAAAACCAAGGAGGTTACGCCCGGCGAGTCTAACGTGGCAACCCTTTCTGGTCAGATAGTGCTCAAAGTGCGTGCTTCTGATACTAGTTTTTTTTTAGTAAGCATCAAATTCAAGGCGAATTTTATTGGAGAATAAGTCACCAATACTCGTCTCTGTAAATTATTTCGCCAGAAAGAACAATCTTTTTATTTATGATTAACGTGCGCGGCTTAGAAATGTGGCAGCTTGGGCTAGTTGCTATGGAATGACGATAGTTACAGCGTGAGGACAAAACGACGACACAGAGACAAGGAGGACACTAAAGACACGAGCGGTTTATTCCTCAATTGAAAAGCGTGCGCGTTTGCCGCTCCTCTAGTAAGGCTGTGGAGGTGGCTATACCTACTACTACTACTACTACTACTACTACTACTACTACTACTACATACATCGCAGACGCACTAACTACCCACAGCACCACAGCATAGGGAGCTTCGCCCTCAATAACGAAGTTCAATAGGCGTCTGACTGATTTATAAATTGTTCGCATCGCGGGCATCCATCTATATTGGAACACTCTTATAAAAAATAATATATTTAGAAAAAAAAAGTACGACTTCTCTTGTGTCTCACAAAAAAGCAAGGAACGCTTCACCGCATGGCACGGACAATCAAGGAGCACCTCGGTTCCGATTTTCTTTTTCTGTGTGAATTAAAAGTGCGAGTGAGATTACCTTTTTGTAGTGTTCCTGGGTCACTTATCTTTGAAATGCATGTTGTAAATTTTATTTATTTTTAATATTTCTGCATATATAGTGTTTTTTATTAGACTGTTTACCAGTTGGCAACAGAAAATTTCACTTCACATTCTTACTCATTTCAAAATAATTTTGTTTCTTTACAGCATACATTTTTTTTCGGAAAGAACGTTTCATTGTGCGAAAGTTGCTATGCTGCAGTGCGTGCTGAAGTACTTTTCAAATTGGCAAAAACTTCGAGACATATGAAGAATAGCCATTTTCGCGCGATAACGAAAGAGTCAAGTCATTCTCTAGGTTCTCTTAAAATAATGCGCCGGGTAAGAACACCAAGTTAATAGTTCATACTTGTAATCGCACCCAAGTACAGCGAGTTCAAACACGCCTGTGTAAAACACCCAATACATAGTTCATACTTATACCACACCTAAGTGCAGTGCGAATTGTAATGCACAGAAATTTTGCTGTAGTGAAGTTATCGTCGCTGACAACATATTGATGGGGGAATACGTGTTTGATAAGTGTGGCAACATATCTTGGGCAAACTGGTATACTAGTTCAATAGATCTCGGAAAGCAAAGTTTTTAAATGATGTACAATCTTTGCTTTTCCGATAGCCCTTAGTGGTAACACCAAGGTAAATGGCGTCAGCAGAGGCGCAGTCAGTGGGTGTTTTGAGGAGTCATTATTCTGACGCAGGAGCCGAGTACGAAGAGCAGAAAAAAATGGCAGAGCAGGGCCACTGCTCTGTGATAGCCTAATGGGGGGCATTCGAACAAATGATCCACCCAGCCTTCCTATCTGAATAGCATGAGAATGAACAACCACTCACTACTGTGGCCGTTCAGTATTGTATTTGCCTGTGTTTCGATAGTAGACAAAAAAAATTATAGCTCAGAGATAAAAATGCTAGTGCGAAAATGTGTTCCAAGTTTGACCTGCTCTGCTGGGGTGATGACAGGATTTTTCCGATGAAAGAATCAGCTTATGTTTCCAGAAAAGGAAGAGGGGCGTTAGCGAATTGTAGGTCCCTTTAAAATTAAGCGGAGAGGGGGGGGGGGTGTAGGAACATCCGGGTTCCTCTTCTGAATCCCCCCCCGGTGCTTTGATGCTATCAGAGAAAGGTGTGCTTACTTGCAGGACCCGTTTCTGACGCACGGGAGTTTCGGCCCTTTTTTGTTTCTATTTACGTTTCTGCGTTTATTTTATATTTTTTGTACTACAGCAGGCACTTATTCTAGATGACTAGAAGGAAAAAAGACATGGTTGATTCCTCCGTCTTGGGAATCAGTAGACACGAAAGTAAAACGTCTCCTCCTTGCATTTCCTTGTGCTCCTGTCTTGCGCATGCGCTGTACGCGTGTTTCTTGGTGCAGTTCCTGCGCATTCCATCGCAGAACACTTGCTGCGCCGCTTGTATGCGGGGATGTTGTGCGTGGCCGACGAGACCTCGGTTGTTGAACACGTGTTGCTTGTCGTTGTTGTTGCTATAGCTTGCCACTGCGTGCAAATGGTATCTGTGCTCAATTTAGCTCTTGGATTTGTCTACGAAAATGCGTCTTTGTATAGGGCTGAGAAGTTTTGTTAGTGTTATTTCTTTTGTTGTCTACCACCCTGTAACGGCCCCACTGGGGCTAACAGTATTAATAAATAAATAAAAAAAAATAAAACACAGTTGAACGTGAATGCTTCCCGCTGGCGCTTAGTGATACGATCTCCAACCCGACGAGTAACGTCCATAATTAGCGATAGACGAATGATTAAACATGCCGTTGTGGTCATGATGCCCACAACGCGCATTGCGTTTCTCTCTAGGGCAGTGACGTTCAGTAACTCTAACCATAGAGTTTCCTAAAATTAACTAGAGGGGACTCTGGCGCTGCGATCGTTCAGCGACCATGGGAATGATGGGTAGTACACACGTTTGCCTAGTCTTCGTACTTGCGGCTTCATTAATTGCCGGTTACGGTTTTGTTTCGAGGGAAAGAATGGAACTTTGTGACCCGATTCGAAATGGTAAGCCTAAAAGAATAAGGTTGTGAAGCGCAAACGCCGAACATTTGCTTTTTTTTTTCGTAACAAAAAAACAGCTCCAAGCCACACGAACACTCACGGAGCCACAAGCAGGCCAGAA